ACGTCAGTTTGAATCAAAAGCCCTGAATGATGCCGATTCAGAAGGAAGTGTCCCTCCTCCCTCTCCACCGCGTTGGGGGAGCATTAGCGTGACTAGTTCCTGTTTATGATCTCTGCTGAATACTTTTAAAAGAAAAAAAAAAAACACTCGGGATAACTGAATTAGCATCTCATTGAGTAAATCGGGCCGCGATGCCAAGGGAAAGAGGGAGAGGTGAGGACGGCAGGTGGGCGTAGAAGGCGCGCACCAGCCGCGCTCCCGCCGGGAAGGCCAGCGAGCTGCTAAACGCGCGTTAATGGAGAGGCGGTCTGCCGCTGCTGCTGTCACAGAGGGAGGACACTATCCTGGGGACTGGTTGCTAGCGCTCAGGTCACCTCTGAACACGGAAAGCGGGGAGAATCCCACTCCAAAATGGGGGATCCAGAAAGTAACTCATGTGTTCCGTGGTTCCTGGTAGACCGCAGGGGAGGGGGTACGTTTGAAATACCGAAAAGGAAGTCCCAACCAGGGTCACAAAACCGGTGTGGGTGCAGGCACGGCTTGAGGGAGCGCCAGGCCAGGCCCCGGGACATCACCAGGCCTCCCTCCCTCCACGGCGCTGTATTTCTAGCTCAGGCCAAGCGTCCGGCCCAGCCTGGCCCCGGCCTAGATCTTGGGGATGGCCCTCCAGCCAGCAGGGGGCGGGGCCCTGTCTTCTCTCTGGCTCTCTGCCTCTCAGTAGAGCACCCTGCCAACCCTGGGGTGAAAAACGAACCTCAATGCCTGCGCTCTTGCAACCCGCGGGTCCCACAGTCCCTGGGGTCACCCAACCTCTCCAGACCCGCACGCCCCCAGCAAGCTCAAGTTTGGATCCAGTTGGGTCTCCAGCCTCGACGCCCGCTCTAACAGACCCAGAGCAAGAGACAAACGGGTATCACTACGCACTCCCCCACCTCCGCACTCGGAGCCCTTCCTGGAGCTTCCCGGGCACCCGCAGTCCAGCACGCACATCCCTGCCTCTCCAGAAGGCGCGCCGCTGCAGCGCTTCTTCTAAACTCTAAGGCAAATCCGAGCTTGAATTCTCACAATAATAAACACCGCCCAATTTGGGCATGGGCCGGACGCAGGCGGAGACACGCGCGGCTGGTGGGCGGGGCACTGATAGTAAAGGGAAAAAAACACCCAAGTTCTGGTCGCGGTCTGGAGAGGCGCATCCAGTCCCGCGCGTTTGCAGAAGTTTGCAAAGTCTCCGGGAGGTTCCAGCCATAGAACTCCGGAATGGCGCCCCAACCCGGCTCAGGTGGGGTACGCATCCTGGGCTCCCAGGTGAAGCGTCTGTAACTTGAGCCTAGGAGAGGCCACGGTAGGATGGAACCCTGGGCGCTGGGGTGTATTTCCGGGGAGCGCAGGGCACAAACCCCTAGCGTCCGAGAGCGGATGCGCCCTCGTGCGGAAGCTCTGTCGGGTGAGCAAGGAGCGGAGGCCGGGTCGGGGAGCAGCCGAGCCTGGGAGACAGCTCGGGCAGAGTGCGTCCCAGAGAGCCAAACGGGGGCCCTGAAAGTATCCTGCAGGCTCTTAAGCCTTTAGATGCCAGAAAAGCTCGTTCATCTCCGAAGTCAGGGCCAGCGCATCTCCCAGTCTGCAGGAAAGACCTGAGATCTCCCGCCTGCCCTGATGCTCCGCGAAGGACCCTGGCGGTTCCAAATCTGGGGCTGGAGCAGAAATCAGGTTCGGCGTGGGATGAAGGCAGAGAGTACCATTCCCTCCTACTCCCCCGACCCCCACCCCCACCCCCAGAAAGCGTGCTCCTTGGGCAGGCTGGGCAGAGGCCAGACACCAGGCCCTGGCACCAAAGAGGCATCAGAAAAAAAGACTGCGGGGGTGAGACAGGAGCCCCTCCCACTCCCCCCCACACACCAGGGGCATCTACCCTTCCCCAGGCACCCCCCCCCCGTAAATATAAAAGCAGACACTCAAGTTAACAATGATCTGTGTCATCTTTCCAAATATCTACATTACTTTTCTAAATGTGAAGACAGTTAATGAATTATATATATATGTATATATGTATATGAATGAATGATTCCACCATGTGTGCAATATGTTTGAGAAGAGTGAGGGCAGAAGGATGCAGGACTTACTCAGCCAGGGCACCCTACTGCCAACCTGAAAACGTTGGAGATGATGATAATAACAAGGATAATGTTAAGAATTAAAATGTCTTGTATGCTAATATGTGCTGGCACCATTCTCCATGCTTTCCTTGTATTAAGTCACTCCATCCTCACAGCCATCCTAAGAAACAGAAATCTTTATCATTCCCATTTTGCAGACCAGGAAACTGAGGCCAAGAAGTTTGCTTGCCTTGGGTCTCCTATGAGGAAGTGTTGCAAGGACAGGAAACAATCCTATGATCACAACTACTGTGTGTGGATGCTAAGGGCCCTGTGAAAGTTCTCTCGAGAACCCTCATAGCATCTGTGAAAGACAGGGGTGATGGATCTGCCCATTTTACAGATGATGAAACTGAGTCAGGGCACAGAACACCCCAAGACAATGGAGGTAGTAAAGAGCAGAACAGGGATTGGAAGCCACATGCTTCCCTCAGAAAGTGGCTTCTCTGAGGTCTGACAACTCTAGTGTCAGCAGAGGCTCCGAGCGATGTGTCAGGAGAAAACAAATGGAAAGGGGGCCCTCCAGAGAGGAGAGGTGTGTGGCACTTCCAGAGCTGGGACATTTGGGGCATTATATGTAGGAAATCAGAGTCCTCACCAATATCCTACCAAAACCCAGAAGACTCTCCCCCGCTCCCCTCCTCTCTCACTTTGAAAGGATGGGGAGCAGGGTCTTCTGCAGCTTCTCCTGGGGGAAGCGAGCCCTGAAGGTAAGAGTGGACCGGTCAGCTGATGCTGAGTGAGGCCCAGAGAGCAGGGAGAATTTCCCAAATTACTGATTTCTTTAGAGCTCTCCTTGTTCAAAGAAATGATTTCAAGGGTCTAAACAGGGGCAGTTAGGGCACAGACGCTGCCCTGCCCAAGCACATCAGCATTTAGCCTGATACATGCAGTTCATTGAGATCAAAGAATCCTGTCTCTTCTGTTATCCAGGTAAATCCTAACAGCTAACCGTGAGTGCTTACTATGGACTGAGCGCGATCGAAGCACTTTCCCAACGTGTGCTGGGTTCATTAATCCTCACAATAACGCTGTTCAACGATCCCATCATCTTCAATTGAGAAATGCACCCAGAGAGCTTGAGAGAGCGTGCCCGAGGTCACATGAAGCCTCAGTTGGCCTCTGTGTAGGGCCTGAGTTGGCGCATGTGGATTCGGCTTGTAGAGAAAGGCTCCGTGGGGGGGCCTGCCTGTAAAAATATCTCTGAGGCAGAGAGAGAGCCCCCAGGGGCTGCTGGACAAAGGAAAGGCCCAGGGCCAAGGCCACTGAGCCAGGGGTCAGAGGGGCTTCTCTGGCCTCTGTGACCTCCCAGCCTGGGTGGGCATATAGACTGAGCACAAAGCTGCACCCCAGGCCCGGGAGATGGCGACGCCACCCCAATGCTCCCCAGCGCCATTCCTTTAAGGGACCTGCGATGCCAGCTAGCTCATGGATCTGTCAACCCCCCTTCCCTCCATTTCAGCTTTTCACACACTCACAGGCCCAGGATAAAGTCCCCACAAGTCTGACACTGGAGAAACCATAGCCAGAGAGACACATTCAAGAATCAAACTCTACACAAGCTGTCTTTCTGCTTTTGCCATAGAGCAGGAATTTGCAAAACCAAGCGAAAGGCTTGCACAAAGCCAGGCAGTGGCGTCTTCCCAGGCGCAGCGGCTGTCCCTGACTGCGGCCGCACAGCCTTCCAAACTCCCTGAAACATTCCACCCCCTTCCTTACATGCCTATGTCAAAAAGCAAACATTTCAAACGCCTTGGCGAGCGGAGGCCATGCAAGAAAGAGGCAGGCGGGGAATGCTTCTCGAAGTTTGGGAAAGCATTTCCCGTACGTGGTGCCAGAAAGCACTCTCTGGTGGCTCTGACCCAGTGTGTCTCGCCCACCTGGGGAGAGCCCCCCAGCCATCCCTGGCCTGGCTGCACCTAAGGCATCAAACCTCAGATCTCTACTCGTCCACTTCCACCGCACCCAAGAGTCAGGAATGTGCGGTCTGGGACGACAGCAGGCGCACATTCCCTGAGGCACCCAGCACGGGCTCCACGACCCTGGGCACGCCTTCTCCAGAAACGTGGTCCTGCCCATTAATCCATGGGTGTCTTTTCTCAGTGTCCCTCTCTCCACCCACCTCAGATGTCTGGCTATCAATAGATTCCCATTGGACCAAACTTGCCGGACACGCCATCCAGTTTTTTGGATTTGGGATGGGGATGGGGAGCGAGCAGGCAGGCGCTCAGGCACCAGGGCCCATTTTCAGGGGGCCTGGGAGCTGCTCTCTGTGCTTTGAGTGCAGCCCACATGTCCCCCACCCCGGGCCCAGAGGTGAGCCCCAGGCAGTCTTGTGGTAAAGGGGAGGAGATGGATCCGGAAAGATTTATGAGCCAAATGCTGAGGTTCCCAGGACCTGCGTTTCTTCCCCCTTTCACTTCTGATCTCCGTTTCTTGCTGGCGGGGAAGGGGAGTGGGGTAAGTGAGGGCCCGCTGCAGGAGCCCCGGCTATGCTGGGAAGGAAAGTGCTGGGCTGCCCAAAATGCCCTCGCACTCACCTGGTCATCTTACAGATGAGAAGACTGAGGCAAGGGAGGGCAGTGGTTTGTTCTCCCAGCAAGGTGTCATCTTCTAATTCCTAGCCCAGTGTTCCAGCAATTTGAGGATGCAAGTCACCACCAATTTTGGCATCACCGGGGACAGGCCACTTGAACCAGGGCCGAGAGAGAGAACCACCTGGCCACAGACCCAAGTCGGGTATTGGGAGAGAGGCCCAGGCTGGGCTGCATACCGGCAGTCCCTCTTCCTGAGAGTGGGGAGCCTGGGGCATCTCTCCTGAGTCTCAGGAGAAGCAAAGGCTACCCCAGCTGCAGCCTCTCCATGACTGTGAATGTGCAGGATGCTCAGAGGCCACGGGGTCTCTCCAGCAGGCCCATATCTGTCAAAACTGGACCTTGGTTAGAGGCACAGTCCACCCAGCCAAGGCCTCTTGGGGACATAAGGTTAACTGTATGGGAAACATCTATGCCGTGGTGTTTGTGTTGCTTCCATTTTATTTGCAGTGTCTTTGAGACCTGCCGAACTGTATCTTACTGGGTCAGGAAGGAACATGGGTTATAGACCACGGCTTAATGCAAACTGCCATTCCGTGGACCGCACAGCCACCCCAGCCAGGAGTCCCAGCAGCCTGCGACAGGCATTCCAGCCCTTCCATCTCCGACCTCCTTTCCCCTTTTCCTGAAAGGCCTTAGGCCTCCGGAGGACTGAGCGGCCAAAGGAAGGGGCGGCGAGTGGATCTGTGGAGCAAGGACAGCCTGTGACCCTCGTGAGCAGTCTTTGCGCGGAGGGCGGCAGACACGCAGGGTGGCAGTGAAGACGCGCAAGGCAGCCTGGAGGGTGCTCAGGCCCGCGCTGCTCAGCGTCACACCGCAGGGTCTTCCCACTCCTCAGGGAGCAACAGATGCCCCGGAGGACGCTAAGCCCCTAAGTCTGAGGTCTGCGTCGAAAGCCAGGGCTGAGCGAGCTCGAGTGCAGCGCCCAGCACAGTGGCTGGCCTTCTAGCACTTACCCATACAGACCACGACCTCCGGGGCCTCAGACTGAGGAACACTTCTGGGGTCCCGGAGGCCTCCCAAAGCGCCCTGGCCTGACACACCCCTCCACTCTGCCGCCTCCAGAGGCCCGGGTAAAGCCCCAAATACAACCCCCCCCCAGTTGCCCATGGCCTCCATGAGGTGAGGGGCCCTTCTCGAGCTACCCACATGGGTGAGCGGCCCACGGCACAGCGGGAACTTCTTTAAGAGGCCTTCCCAAAGGTGGAAGATCCCAGCGTGGCTTGAGCAGCACGGCAGGGTGTCTCACCCCACTGCATCCCATTTTTCTCTCCTTTGTTTTCCATGTGTCTCTCAGACCTCCTCTGAGTTCCAAATCTTAAGATGAGGGCAAGTTTTCAGGGAGGACTCTTCGAAACATCTGGGGAAGGAGAAAGCCTGCTAGAATACTCTCCTCTTCTCCTGTAGCCCAAACAGCATAAAAAGAACAGGGCAAAATGAAAAGGATTACCAGAACTGGGCAAGGAGTGCTGGCCCCTTTCATTCTGCAGCTCAGAGAGGGGGACTCTCTACCCCCCACCTCCCACTGTAACTGGCTGGCCAGCTCACTCAACCAAAGCACAGTGGCCTGGGGGACTGCTTAAAGTCAGCACCAACCACCAGGGCTCCCGGCTCCTAGACGTTATGAAAAGGAATAAAATGCAGCCTCATAGTTTTAACCACTTGCCACCTCTGGTGCCGCAGACTGAAAAAATCTGAGCTGCGCATATGGGCAAAATTATTATGCTCAAACTTCCCCAAATTCTATTTCAGCATAACATAGAGACAAAATGACATGTTGAAAACACCACCACAACACCCAGGTCACATTAACACCACCGCATCAAGTAAAATCACCTTGTGGAAAATCATCATGGCCTGAAATGTTGGGTTCCCAAGAAACTTCACCCTTGGCAAAGTACAGCTCACCTGCTGGGGTGGGAAACTAATTCCCAATTTGGAGCTCTGGCCCCAAAATTCACACGCAGAGACCAACAGGGGAGTTGTGGATTTCGGCCAGTGAAACAGATAGTAAAGCCATTTCCCCTCAGCCATGTCTCACAAAGGCTGCATTGCTATTAAAAATTTTAAAAAGACGAGCTATCAAAATTGAAAAGAAAAATCATCTCCGTACTATTTCAAGTCCTGGAAAAGTTGATATATTTAGAACTCTAAAAGCATTGTAAATTATTTTTTAAGGGCAATGAGGCTTTAAAATTTTTCACTGCAGTAGGGTAAAGATTTAGAAATCAAATCAAGAAGTAAAGAGGTCTGAAATCCAGCTCTGATCCAGCCATCACCGGGGATGTTCGTTAAATGCTACATAATGGATCCCCTTTGGACCTTCACTGGTTCAGTTCAAATTCTTTTCTGAAAAACCATCAGAGTGGGTAAGGAAGTCCGCATTTTAGGAAATCCAGGGACAGCACACCCCTGGTTTGTAGTTAGCTGATGGAAAATGTTTATCCTACCCCTGCTTCGACTCCTAAATTGGGGATGGCTGGACATTGAGATGGAATGGCACGGTTTGTTTTGACAATTGGCATGTTTTTCTGCATTTAGCGAAATGCATTACAGCAAATGACATTACAGCACGCCGTCCTTCAGGCAGCTGCGTCCAGCCAGAACTGTGCCCTGATTGCCTCGGTGGGATTTTGAATTAATCAAAAGCGTTTTCTGTCACTAACAAGACAATAGGTTGGTGCCCCCATTCCTCTGTGATCATCTGTATATGTCTACACGTTTACCCACCCGCATAACAAAAATTATCAAAACAGGTGGATTTGCAAACACGCCTTGTTTTTAAAAAATTCGAGAACACAAATACACTGTTCGGACTTTGGGCAGAAAAACAACATGGGTTTATTTTAAGGTAAGTACAACAATTAAGACCACATAAGACAAACACAGGTGAAGTTAAATTTTTTTAAGGTTTTTTTTTTCTTTTAGGAATGCTCAGGGAGGCATCTACTATACACAACCATCACACTTTGCAAATAAAAAGTATCAGATACTTGACTTTATCCGCCAACAACAACAAAAAATAAATTATTTTCCTGTTTGGTAAAAGACCTAGACCTGGGAAAAGAATCATATCTCATAATTGTACAGGGGGAAAAATATCCCACATAGGTTTCTTGAATTTTCGATTTGGCAGTTAGAAATGGTTGGGCAAGATGAAAAATTATCCAGTGAACTCAACTTTAAATATTATATTAATGGCTCTGAACAACAACAAAAAATAGCCTGATTACAAATCCACACATTTATACAGCACGGTTAGAGAAATTCAAAATTACACACAGCACATATATAATCTATAGAGACCCCCCATAAACCTATGGGGGTCTCTACAGAGAGGCATTACTGGGTGGCTATGGGATTTGGTCCATAACTTATTTTTGAAACCCCGAGTGGAGCGGTGAGCACAGCCATCCTGGTAGGGGAGAGGGATTTTAAAAATCAAGATTCATTTCGTTGGGCCGCGTCCCTTTACAGGGGCTTCTTGGAATCTCGGAAACCGGGCGGCGAATTACAGTTACCTGCAGCTTCGCAGAGGGCCGAGGCCGGCGCGCGCGCTCTGCTCCCGGTCTGAGAAAGAAGCTGGCGGACAAGTTTTGGTTCTTCCTGCGTCTCTGCAGCCTGAACTGTCTGAGCGAGTCGGGCCTGGGAGGCGAAGCCGGAGCGGGCCGGGGCAGGGGAGGGGCGGGCCAGGTCAGTATTTCGTGCAGTCATAGGAATAGGGGGCTGCGTGGCGGTAGAGAGACGGCGTGGATCTATAGGGCAGCTGACAGCTCGCGTTGCTGCTCACCTGGGGTTCCCCGAGGGCCGAGTTCTCAATCCCCAGCCGGTGGGAGTTGAACATCTCCCGGACGTTGGGGAAAGTCTGCTGCTGGGCCGCGAAAGTGTGGCCGGGTAGGTGGTTCAGGTCCCCGCTGTGGTTGAGATACCAAGAGGCCGCCTGGGCCGCGGCGGCCCCGGGCTGCGGCGCCGGCTGGGGCTGGGGAGCCGGCGGGGGCGGCGGCGCCTGCGGGTGGTGGTGGCCGTGATGCTGGTGGTGGTGGCCAGCAGCGGCGAGCGCGCCCTCCTGGCCGGCGGCGAGGTTGAGGGCGCTCAGGGGCGACGTGGGGCCGCTCGGGTGGTCCGAGAGGGCCTCGTCCAGCGCGGGCGGGACGCACATGTGCGTCGGCCGCTCGGCCCCGGTGTACAGGCTCATGGCGCGCATGCTGCACTGGTAGCCCCCGGCGCCCCCGGCCTCCAGGCCCTGCGCGCACGGCTGGCCGTAGGCGGCGGGCGGCGCGGCGGCGTAGGGCAGCGCCAGCGGTGGCACCACCAGGCCCGCGCGTCCGGCCGCGGGGCTCAGCTCGCCGCCGGGCGGCGACGTTCGCAGCGTCATGATGTTCTCCACGCTGAAGCCAGGCAGCCCGTTGGGGGCGCCGGCGTGGTGCTCCGGCAGCGAGCCGTCTGGGGAGCCGGCGGGCGTGGAGGTCGCGCTGCGCGGGCTGCCCTGCAGCGCGCTCTCGGGGCTCAGCGTCTCCACCTTGGTGATGACCGGCAGCGCCGGCGACGCCGCCTCGCTCTTGATCACCACCTTCTTCTCGGCCTCCTTGGGGGCGTCCGCTAGGGGGGGCCCGGCCGGGGTGCCCTTGGACGCTGCGGGGGGCGGCTCCTTGAGGTGGGCCCGCTCCTCCTTCTCCTTGGGTACGTCCTTCTTCTTGAAGCGTCGCCGGCGCCGCAGGAAGCTGCCGTTCTCGAACATATTGTAGGAGTCGGGGTCCAGGGTCCAGTAGCTGCCCTTGCCCGGTTTCTTGTCGTCGCGGGGCACCTTGACGAAGCACTCGTTGAGCGAGAGGTTGTGGCGGATGCTGTTCTGCCAGCCCTGCTTGTTCTCCCGGTAGAAGGGGAAGCGGTCCATGATGAACTGGTAGATGCCGTTGAGGGTGATCTTCTTTTCGGGCGCGTGCTGGATGGCCATGGTGATGAGCGCGATGTAGCTGTAGGGCGGCTTGACGAGGTCCTTGGGCGCCGCGGGCTGGTGGTGGTGGTAGGGCGCGTAGGAGCGGCCCATGCCCGCGCCGTACTGCTCCGGGTGGCCCGAGTAGACGCCCATAGGGCTGGCCATGCCGCCGTAGCTGCCCGCCGCCCGGTAGTAATTCTGCTCGCTCAAGTAGGGGACCACTCCCAGGGCGTTGGGGTCGGACACGGAGTAGCGCGCCTGCATGCTGCGTCCGAGACGGCTCGCCCCTGCCTGCGCGCACCGACCGCGGAGAAGGCCCTGCGAGAGCGACAGAGAGGGAGAGAGAGCTAGAGAGAGAGCGAGAGCAAGAGACAGGGGAAGGGAGCCGGCGGGGGGAGCCCCGGGCGCCTGGAAGCTTCAGGGGCGAGCTGGAGGAGGCGCCGGCGCTGGGCGCCCGCCTTCGGGCGGAGAAGCCGCGCTTGTTTTCAGCGGACCGGGCGGATCAGCATCCTGGAGGGCGCGCCCCGGCGAGCGCAGCGCCAGCCCCTGCTTGCTCGCTCGCTCGCTCTCGGGACCGGCGGGTGGCAGCTCAGGCGAGCGGCGGGGCACGGAGCGGAGACGCCACGCGCGTAGTGGACAGAGGCTGGTCTCTCGGTCCGCGCCAGGGGCGGGAGGGTGGCTCTCCAAGCCCCCCAGCAAATCGGCAGCCCTGAGGATCAGCGAGCCGGGGTCCAGAGTGGCAGCCCTGCTGAGCCCGGAAAAAGAGGCAAAGTCCCTTTTAGGGATTGGGAAAAGTTTCAAAAGTCGTCTTGCTGAAAGCGAGTTTTTACTTTCCTCCGGCCACGCCCCCTCCGGGAACTTTGGACCAATAACCCGGCAGCTGTGGGGAGTTGGCGCCAATCAGGGCGAGGAGCGCCGGAATCCGTCGGCTCTAAGACCCAGCCGTGCAGAACCAGACTAGAATGCAGATCAGTCTTAACTTGAAAAGATTTTTTTTTAAAGAGTTATATTTTATTAAAATTTATTTTATTATCACATTTTGGTTAATGGGCCCACGTGCCCAGAGCAAAAAGAAAAAACCCGAAGCTTTTTTGCAGAAAAAAGTTAGTTTGAAATATAAAGTCGAATTGCTTAATGTAGTCAAATATCTCCCCAAAGACGATGTAAGTAGCAAAGACCCTGGGACTATTTTTCTTATTAATGAGTGATGAGGCGAATAATTAGATTTCCAAATAATCTGGGCCCAGGTGTAATGGATTCAAAGCAAACGTGCTGGATAGGAATGGAAGGGGCCTCCCATGGATCTTGTCATTATTTAAGCAAATAATTAATAACCAAGAGAGAGTTTCCAGGTTCAGGGCCGTCAGGAATAACCTATAAAGGTATTAGAGGCAAATTATAGCATCTGAAGGCCCCTCACCCCCACCTGGGGATGCAGGCCGAGGTGTCTACAGGGCAAGGCAGACTGGGGAAAATAGCAAGTCTTGAGAATCTAATCCTTTAAATTCGCCTTGGATTCGGCAAATCATCCACGTTGTCGCGCGCAGTTGTGTGGGGTTTGGGGAAGAGAGTGAAATAACTCTGCTCATTTCCTCTCCCGCGTAGACGCCTGCAGCCCACCGACTCCAGCTTCTCAGTGTCTCTCGCTTTTCCCAGAGATAAATTCACTTTGACAGCCGACTCCCGCGCTCCCAAAAGACGGGAACAATGCAGCAGCGAGCCACCGGGCCGGGCGGATCTGGGCTCCTCGGCCCTCGAGGAGAAACCCGAGCCGCTTTCCGCGGGGTTTTCGCCCCAAGACGCGCGTCCCCAGCGCGGGCTCCTAACCGCCAGCCCGCCGCTGCAACACCCACCCGGGACGCATCCCTACCTCCCGCTCCCGGCAAAGGCCCCTTGGGAATCTCCAAGTTGACTTCCTATATCTCAGTGTTTTTTGTTTAGTTGGTGTTTGATAAGGTGATTTGGGCGCCAGGGGGAGGACGGAGTAAGCGATTGCAAACGGTTAAAGGCATTCCCAGAGGTGGTATTATTCGGGGTATTGACCCGGAGCGGCTGGGAGGTCCTGGCCATTCAGGGCTTTCTCCTTCCCTCTAGGAATCTCGGAAAGTTTGTTTATCTGTGGACTGAGTATTTATTCCTTTAACACCTCGAATAATCAGATCCTCCTTTGTCCCTTCCCCTGAAGGGGCAGGATTCTCCCATAAGGAGGGCTAAACGCCGGTCAGAACTCTTTGGAAGGTGTCCGTCCAGCTGACTAGGGAAGAAGACTTCATGTAAAACTTTCGTAGCTCAGGTTTCCTTAGCCCTCCTAACTCTGCTGCCACTTTATTAGATTAGCTTATTAGAGTCTCAGGAAAAGGATTTGAGAGAATCTACCCGCCATCCTTAACTTTTGGGAGGTGAACGGATGGCCTTGGGGATACCTCATTCATTTTTCAATAAAAGAACAAAAGAAAAAGTATTATTTATGTGCATTATCTATGAATGGTATTATCTCCCGACAAATTCAAAATCAAAGAGAAAGTCCAAAACGGGTTCCTATTACCTCAAATATTATACTTCTGAAATACCATATTTTTTACAGGGGCTATAAGTTTTTTCTCCAACTTGATTTTTTTTTTCTCAACGAAGTAAAATACTGCTACCCAGTCCTCAGCTCACAGGTGAATGGTTTGAGCGTTCTCCCATCACCCAACTCCCACTACGACTTTATTATTTTTTAATACCTCTAGTATTTTCACATCCATCTTAAAAAAAAAACTGGCAAAAAGCCCCTCTCTCCTGGAGCGCGTGACAGGCACCCTGAGTTCTGCTCATCGTTTTACTGGAAATGCGAACTATTGATCAAGAAACACTCCTCAGTCTGTAGGCTTCCTGGAGGAATATTATTTACTCTGCTTTTACGAGGTTTTCTCTTTTTTTTTTTTAAGCTTTATAACAGCACAGGGCAAAACTCAACATAGCTAAGGACTGAGGAAAAGAAACTCCAAAATGACAGTTTCTGCCTGAGTTTGTATTTACAAGGGTGTCCAGGTTTAAACCAATGTCATCTCAAAAGAACTAGGTTGAATTGCCAAGATTATTACCCTCCCCCCCAAAAAAGTGGGGATGGGAAGGGAGAAATCCTTATAATCAAGACAGAAAAGGTGAGAGAGACATTTTCCTTCGCCCTGGAATTAGGTTTCTTCTCGGCTCAGTAGGACTGCGGGAGAGATGTTTGTCCAGGTTATTAAAACAACACCTTCCACACACCTGGACTTTGGAAAAACTATATTTCCGATCTTTTCTTTAACCTGCCAGGGTATTTTGGATTGGGAGCTGCTAATATCTTGCTGATTTCTTCCTTTCCTGACCTAGCTGTCAGTGAGCCGAAAGCGGAATCGGGTCCCAGAGAGCCCTGGTGTGTTACTAGAATAATAAGCGATGATAAAGCAAAAGATATTCAAGCCACTTTCCCTCCACTGCATTGCCTCCTCGCCTGGGCGCCACCGGCTCCTGCACCTGGAGGCGGCTCGGGCGGACCTGGGGTGTTGGCGCCACCTTCAGGCCAACAGGGGAACTACTCTTAAATAAGAAAAAAAAAAACAAGTAACGACTGTTGTGGTTGCAATGCAGGTGCTGACACCTGGTGGCTACACCTTAGCATTGCAGGGGCAGGAGTAAAGCCTTCAAAGTCTGTGAGAGAGAAGGTAATAGACTGTGTGCGGCGCGTCGGTTAAGAAAAAACAAAACATTTTCCGTAGCTTTGCAATGTGTCAAGATCATGATCTGTTGGAAAACAGAACTGTCTTTGGAACTGCTCTGGGAACAAGAAATCCTGTCTAGGGAGATTCACTGAGGTTTTAAGGAAGTATCTGTGCCTCTTAGGTGGCTAGAAGTCTGGGTATTTTTTTTCCAGGGTTGTTGAACAACTTGCTCGTCCGTCGGTGTCTCCCCATGGCAGCTGTCTTTCTGCCCCACGTGTGGTGCGAGTTTCAGGGAACTCATCAGAAAAATGTTTGTACTGGATGTGTGTGTACTGCATTGGCTTTAACAAGAGGGAGACCTGTAAATGCATCTGCAGCCGCTTCTGCTTCCGAGGCACAACGAAGAACTCACCAAGGGGACAAGTGAAAGGAGTTTTGTGTCTTCTCTCACCGTTTTCAGTACATTCGCCCCAATATCCTTCAAACAGTTCCCTTCTGGGCTCACGAGATGCCCTGGGTTTTAGGGAAAGGGACCAGGTATAAGAACAGTCCCAGGCTTCCAAGAGCTACTTGGAATCAGATGAACCCTTGGGTTAAACAGAGTCAGTGCTGCTGCTTAAAAATCCATTGTAACCCAGCTCCTAGAAATGATCTGTTTCCAAGACAAAGAGTGCGCTCCTGATGAAATCTGTCCGAGCCCATTTTACTGAGCATGACGTTTCCGGGGAGTTAAAGCGATAGGGCACCGTCCACAAAAGGCAGTGCTGTGAACAACAAAATAACAGAGGGTGAGGACCATTCTTGGTTAAAAGATTAAAGAAACTGAACAACTAAGTGCAATACTTGATCCTGGATAGAGGGGGAAAAAACTAATAAAGGACAGGTTTGAGAACAGCTGGGGAAATTTGAATCTGGAGTATTAGATAATAATCTTGTATGAAGGTTAACATTCTTGAGTGTAACAATTACATGTGGTCAAGTTAAAGCATGTCCTTGTTTTTAGAAGGTACACGTCAAAATATTTAGCACTGATATTCACCATCTCTGCAACTTTCAAAAGATTCAGCCAAAGTAGGGGAGGGAGGATAGAGCGGAGAGAGAGCAAGTTACCTAAAATGTGGGAAAATAAGAGCAATGGCTGGGCCTACAGTATGTGGTGTTCATTGTGTACTGTTCTTGAAATTTTTTGGGAAGTTTGAAATTTTTCAAAATTAAAAAAATTGGGGTAAAAACACCACTGTTTCTCTGATAATTTAAAAAGGTATGTGACACAAAGCAAAAATCTTTCCATGGAAGCAGTTGCAAACCCCAGTGGAGGCCCAACTTGGCCCCTGTGTCCCCTCTCCTTGTCTTCTGGAAGTTTCTGAAAAACAATCTTCAACAGTCATGGAGTTTATCACATTTACTTGTGATTGTTAAAGAAAAAAAAGCTGATTCTCTAAGAAGCTTATCTGTCTTATAATTCAAGCATTGCCACAATTAACACAAAGACCCAAGAAATGCAATAGAGCACTACAGATGTTTTAGAAACAGAATATTAAAGATATACATATGTTTCTCCCTAAAGAGAGTTAATTACACACTGCTCTATGCTGCCCATATCATCCAAGTCCTATATAGTTGCCCTTTTCCACACTGCTATGTAATTGATTGGCTTACATGGTGTACCAATCAGTTGAGGCTGGTGTATGCTGAGTAACAAACACCCCAAGTCTCGATGACTTGATCCTGAGCCAACCCAGCTCCTCGGGGGCTCTGCTCGTCAGCGTCGATCAGGAGCCTGGGTTTTCAAAGCCTACAACTCCTGTTACCTTGGCAGGGGCAAGAGAGGGAGATCCTACCCTGGGAATCAAGTGATCCAGCCTGGAGTTGACATGTGTCACTTCCACTCACAACTCATTGGCCAGAGCTGGTCACAGGGGCCCCTAGGGGACGGGAATTTCAGTCTTTGCTGTGCCCGGGCAGACAGGCGAGTGACATTCTTTTAGCAGCCTCATGTCCACCACACATGTCCTACCTTTCTTGGCAGCTGGTGACCCTGCCTTGTTTGTCTCAGCAGCCCAGTACCTCGTATGATACCTCGACCCACGATAGGTGCACAAGAAGTGTTTGTTGAATGTATGTATGACTTTTCCAAGATTTTTCTCCCTAATACATAAGGGAAAATGTAATGTGTGCATGCTGTGTGCCAAGCACTCTGCCCGATGTTCTGCCCATGGTATCTCATTTAATCCTCTTTTGGGGTAGGTACCATCAATATCACCATTTCACAGGGGAGGAAACTGAGGTCTAGAGATCTTAAATCACTAACCCAAGTCTTGCAGCTACAAGTGGTGGAATCAGGATCTCCTAACCCATTACTTTGCTGCCTCTTTGGGTTAGGGCCTTGGAAATTGGAGGAGACTTAAAAAGCTAAAATAGAAACTTCTAGTAAATAAAAATAGTCTGTATGGAAACATACGTATATATATATATAATTTCATAACTATATATACACAGTCAATAGTGTATGCATGAAGGCATGACTTCTAAACACATGAATTAATGTCTATGAAATTTTAGGTTTTTCTATCACCAACTTGAACTCCTGTAATTAAGTCTGTGGGGCAAATGGGCTCATTATGGGAGCCTGTAAAAAGAGGACTGTTCCCGGGGAGTTGCAGACAGGGCTTGGATTGTTGGACGAGGGCAGGGAGAGAGAGGTCAGGGGCCTACTTGTTTTTCACCAAATTTGCAGCCTGTGGGGTGGGTGTTCTGAACCCCAGGGAATAAGCCAGACTTGGAATCACAATCTGGGGGCAGCTTTGGCCAGTGCCTCAAAGTGACCGCTGGGTCTCAGAGTGGTAATAACTGAGGGAGGCCCCAGAGAGACCTCTAAAGGACTGAATGCAGTCAGCAGCACAGAGGGGCTCACCGAGGGGAGTCAGATCATCGCTGGCACTGGATGCTCTTCACCCTTTAGGAATTCCATCAAGCCCGGGACACTCTCCCGCTGGCCCCAGCCTTTGCACATGTGCGTCCACACAGGGGACTTCCAATGCCAGCCCAGTGTGGACCCTCTGCAGGGCCTTTGCACATGCTGTGCCCTTTGCCCGGGTCCCTCGTCCTCAGTTCCTTGCTGCAGGGCCACCTCTTCTGAGGCCTCCCCCAACTACCCACCTACTTCCTCCCTCCCCATCCCCTCACCCCACTCCTCGTGCTGATTCATTTTTACCCTGTCTGATAGGATCCTGTCTGTTTGTCCCCCATACCAGGATGTAGCAGCAGGGACCTGGTTTACCCTGTGCACCCCACTGCACCCCATACCCCATTGCTCTGCTCGGCACAGACTCCATGCTCTGGAATTATAAACTGAATGAATAGATGTCACCTTGGAGCCTCAGAGACACCCCCTCCCTCCTGCCATGACCACAGGCCTCATCTCCCAGTTAGCAGTTCAAACCCAGAACTCAATTCAAACATTTACTGGCACTTATTTTAGGCAGATGCTGCATAAGAGATGGGGAAGAAGCGTCGAATGCCCCAAGGCTGTTCTCGAAAGGGATCACAGGCTGAAACTTATTTTAACAAACACACAGAGAGCCCTCACCGAGTTCCAGGGGCAGCGCTCACATTCAGCACTAATCCTCACCGGCACTGAGAGGGAGATGCCAACAGTGCTGTCATCCTCATCCTACAGATGAAGGAAGCGAGGCATGGAGAGCTCCAGTGACTTGCCCAGACACACCCACTGGCAAGCTGCAGCCCTGGGATTCCAACCAGAGGGGCCACGAGCTCAACCCTCCGAGGTGCTGTCCCTGTGTGGGGTGGCCAGGCACAGAGGGAGGGGCAGAGCTGAGCAACACAAGATTCAGGAAGGGGAGGAAGAGGAGCCAAGAACATTTCTTGCAGAAGTTGGCAATCAAGCTGGGCCTTGAGATCTGGGTAAAGTAAAACCTCACCCGCAAGCATCCTTCTCTCTCCTTGACCCTGTCGGTTGCCAGCTTTAGCAAGTAAAAATACAGATGCCCGCATTCTGCCTAGGACAGATGTATATACTAAAAAAAACTATTCGTTGTTTATCTGAAATCCAATTTAACTGGGGATCCTGTATTTAATCTGGCAACCCCTTGGGGAAAAAGTTCTTCAAACGCCTTTTTGGTTATTAGCTTATTAAACAATCTTACATTTATTAAATATCAGGTGCAGCTTCAAATAACTACGTGTTGTTCAACTTCACAGTATAAGGGAGCGTAAAAGGAGAATGTCTTTACTTTGCTCTGTGATTGTGTGTGCCGGGCCAGATGGGGGAGATATCAACGGATTGCTCGAAACTTGAAATATAGAAGAAATTATACTGATTTTTAAAAAGCGTGAGCGTCACACATTACACGGCTAAAAATCCCGATAGTGCAGAACTTTAAAATGAGAAGAGCATCTTCTCGCCACCCCCTCCCCACTCAGAGACCACTAACTCCCTTCACTGTTTCTGCTGGCAGTTACCAAAGAATCTTGAAAATAGGCTTTGCTGCTATGTTTTTTCTTGGCAGCTACCGCTATGACCCTCTGCCTTCCCGCTCTGTGTTTCAAGACGGTGACAAGTTCACCTAGAAGAAATTGGCTGGTTCCCAGGTGCAAGGCGAACGTTTTAGAACACGACCCAAACAGTCCCCAGTTACCCCTGTTGTGTAATCGTCGCGCAGCATGTGTATTTTATTTTTTTTTTATTTTTATTTTTTTAAAGTATGTTCTTCGGGTTGTCATTAGACTGGTGGTTCTCAATCCTTATACACATTAGAATCATCTGAAGAACTTTTAAGATTTTATTTATTTTATTTTTCCCCCCAAAGCCCCAGTGGATAGTTGTGTGTCGTAGCTGCACATCCTTCTAGTTGCTGTATGTGGGACTCGGCCTCAGGATGAACGGAGAAGTGGTGCCTCGATGCGCACCCGGGATCCGAACCCGGGCCGCCAGCATCGCAGCGCGCGCACTTAACCACCAAGCCACAGGGCCGGCCCCAGCATGTGTATTTTAAATCAGCACTTGGTTCAGCTGAGGATGCCAGCGCACTGTGCGGGCATCACCCACCCCTCCCTCCACCCCCAGCAGCTTCCCAAGGAGATGTTTTCAGTTCTCTGAAGGTTCCTTTTGTGCCTTTAAGTCGTGCCTCTTCGCTCTCGGTGCTCCTTCCATCCACCGTCACCGAGTTCGCGTCGGTTGACCCCCCCACTTTGTCAGAGGAGTTGGTTGGCTCTCCACCCTTCCCTCCTGCCAGTCACCGGCCAATTTGGGGTGGGATTTGTGACCTGCAGAAGTTGGGAGTGAGGGTGGGGAAGGCATTTCTGGGATGAGCAAAACATGAACCAAACCAGGAAGGGGGAGGAGGGCGGGTTGATAGGGATGGAGTGTGGCTGAGAGGCGAGTTGGCGGTCAAGCAAGGCCTGGACCGTCCAGCTGAGAACTTTGTGCTTCGCCATACTTCGTGTCCAGAAGTATGGTCTCCGTGAAATGCCGGGTGCTGATGGATGGGCCTCACCTGATCCCGGGGTGGGAGCAGAGCCGGCTTCCGGGAGTGCCAGCTTCTCCGGAGCCAGCCTTTGTTGTTACAGCCTCATTCATGTTACTCTTGTTCTTTTTCGCGCCGTGGGAGTGGTGTGTGTGTGTGTACGTGGCACCGGGAGAAGTCCGGGCGGAGAGAAGAGGCGGCGTTGGATGCCCCAGGCCCGTCCCGGGAAGGCAGGGGCCCGAGGAGCTGCCTTCAGAGGCGCACACGGGGCGGGTCTGGCTCTCAGCGGCCCAGCACGGGGTGAGTCATCGGCCCTCATCTCTCAACACCTGCCTCTTCACTCCGATAGGATCCGTATGGAACAACGCAAGCTAACAAATCTAGGGTGCTCGCTGAGGGCTCGGCAGGCTCTGTGCCTGGACTCCTGGTGTGCCACCCGACTCAGTCCTCTCACCAACTCTAATGCAGGAATGGCATCCCCACATTCTACAGAAGAGGGAGCTGAAACTCAGAGAGGTGGGGCTAATTACCCAAAGTCACACAGCTCAGAGGTCCGTGGCCAAGCTCTTCATGCACTTACCTCTTTCACTAGATTCCTTCTGGCCAAGTTCCAAAGGAGGTGTGCGAATTCATGAGGTAAGGTCTGTGACAAGCTTTAAAATCCGCAAGTGAACTTGCGTACGAGATTTTATAGCAGTTTTATTCATAATTGCCAACACCCGGAAGCAACCATCATGTCTTTCAGTGGGTGAATGGATGAATAAACTGTGGTACAGCCAGACAATGGAATATTACTCAACACTAAAAAGACATGAGCTGTCAATCCCTGAAAAGACATGGAGGAACCTTAAATGCATATCACTAAGTGGAACAAGCCAGTCTGAAAAGGCCACATACCGTAGGATCCCAACTCTATGGCATTTTGGAAAAGGGAAAACTATGGAGACTGTAAAGACATCAGTGGTTGCTGGGGGTGAGGGTGGGCAGGGAGGAACACGCAGAGCACAGAGGATTTTTAGGGCAGTGAAACTACTCTGTATCATCCTACAGTGGTGGATACATGTCATCATACATTTGTCCAAACCCACAGAATGTATGACAGCAAGAGTGAGCCCCAATGTCAACCATGGACTTTGGGTGTACCTTAGTCAGCTCGGGCTGCTACAGCAAAAATACCATAGACTGGGGGCTGAACCAACAAATATTTCTCTCTTACGGAGTTCTGGAGGCTGGAAGTCCAACATCAAGGTGCTGACCGATTCAGTATCTGGTAAGGGCCTGCTCCCTGGTTCACAGACGGCCGTCTTCCCGCTGTGTGCCCACGTGGTGGGAGGGGGAGGGAGATGCCTGGAGCCCCTTTTATAAGGGCTCTGCCCTCATGACCTAGTCACCTCCCAAAGGCCCCACTTTCTAACACCATCACACTGGGGATCGGCTTTCCCCATGTGACTTTGGGAGGGCACAAGCAGTCCATGGTGACAATGATGACAGCATAGCTTCATGGATTGCATCCGCTGTGGTGCGGATGCTCATACTGGGAGAGGTTGTGTGTGGGGGGACAGGGGCTGTATGGGAACTCTCTGTACCTTCTTTTCAATTTTGCTGTGAACCTAAAACTGCTCTAAACAATAAAGTCTATTGAAAAAATTCTTCAAGGGACCCAATGCAAATTTACATATATGATTGAGTTTGAAGCATTTAGGTTAACGTTTTAGAACATCTTTTCCAAGAGAGCCAGCCAATTCCTTCTAAGGGGTCTCTTTTATAACTGTTTGTGATTCTAAGTGCCTGGGCTTCTGGGGCACTTCTAACTTGGAAACACGGTGTGAAGGAACTAAAGGGATGTCCTTCCTGCTGGCACCACCTGCTTTCTAAAATTGCCACGGGGGAGGTTGTCCCCAGTGTCTGGTTACCATCTGGGGGATGTGCCAGGTGGTCCATCTGAGGGACTTGGCTGTTGGTTAGCACTCTGGTCACTGCTCTGAGCACAGTGAATCCTGCACAATTTTAGCTGCCTGGGCCAGGTCAACTTGCATAACATACTCTGCGAAGATCTACTGTGTTTTTCTGAAAGGGGAAGAGAACACTAACCTCTCTGAGAGATTTTATTTTATAACCTTCTATTCTGCAAAGTGATGCTTTGTACTCCTTTTGCGAACCTGGTAAAAGACACTCTTACGTAGCACTAGGCCCTTTAATGCTTTTATGTATTAGTGCTATGGAGACCACGCAGGAATGTAGAATTGTGACCAGGAGCTGCAAAATTTGCAATGAAGCCCATTGGGGTTACATCCTGCTCTGCCCCCTTCCCAGCTGGGTGACCTCAGGCGAGGTTCTTAACATCTTGAGTCTCTGTTCCCTCCTCTCTAGAATGCCAGTCACATTTGTGCCTGGGGTTCTTGTGAGGATTATCTTTAGATACAACTTCTAAGGCACTTAGCCCAGCGCCTGGCACATTAGCAGCATTGTTTATTACTGTCATTAATTATGTTCTATCTGATGAAGGCAAAGGGCAGAGGATCAGTTCCCTGAGACCTTGAATAAGTTGCTGAAACACCCGGAAACTCATTTTCCATATCGGTAAAGTGGTATTAAAATGCTGTCTATTTCACACGTTTGTGGGGAGGATCGTATCAAGTACTGGACACGCAATTTTGAAAAGTAGCTACCACTTCTTGTGCACTTGATGACGCACTAGGCACATGCTAGGGGTATGCAATCAGGCCTTAGGGAGTGGACAGCAGTGGCTCGTTCCCCACTGCTCGTTTTGAGAGGAGGGGTCATCTTCCTAAGGCTTGAATGCTCGGCCAAACTGATGGCTCCCGCAGGATCGGAGCCCCGGGGAGGACGTGGACTTGGTTGTCCATTCAGTCCTGTCTCTTCGAGCGGCCCTTAGGTTGACTCATCCTGTGTGTTGAACGCATGAGAGAACAAACGAATGAATGATGTGGATGAGCAAACGCAGGCGGCCACGTTCTTTCGGTCTTTAGGAGAGCCAGAGGCCACGGCAAAATCTAAAAGATGTGGGCTCAAAGTGCGGCCTCGGAGCCGGCAGAGGACTCACCCAGGAGCTGGGCTGGCGCTATCCCCGACCCAGTGAATCCCAGCAACCTGACATTTGAAACAGGTGCCTCCGGCTGAGTCGGACGCACACCCAGGTGTGAGCACCTGAGTGTCTGTAGGGTCTCAGAGGAGAGAAATCGCGTCCCGAAGGAGCAAGCAGGGCCGGCCTCCAGGAGGAGGCAGCCTCTGCGGACCAGAAGGAGTGGAGTCTGCTGGAACTGGCAGTAGACTTCGGGAGGCCAGGGGCTTGCTCACTTCGGTAGCCCCAGCGTCCGGCAAACGCCCGTTGGAGCAAGCGGTCAACACTGACTTGGCCCATGAACAAGCCACAGGCCTCCGAGCCGCACGAGTCCCCCGCCGAACCTCCCTCCACCGGACCCGCGACGCTGCAAGCGCATGCGCGCCCGCGCCAGTCTCCACCAGGCCTCCCAACACACGCCACCGCCCCTCCTGGCCAGTGCGCAGGCGCCCGGAGGGCGCGGGAGGGTGACGTCATTGCGCCGCGGACTCCGTCCCGGGAGGCGTCGCGCACTGACGGCGTCGCCATGGAGCCCAGGGCGGGTGAGGGGCCGCCGGGGGTCCACCTGAGAGACGCCCGGGGGCGCGGAGGGGTCTCCGGGGGCGGACAGGCGGCGCGGAGGGGTCTGAGAGGGGTTTGGGGTCGAACCGGCGGCGGGCTCGGACCCAGATGCCGGCCCCAGTCGGTGGAGTAAAGAGAGCGGGGGAAGAAGGAGGAGGGCCGCCTTCTGGGCACGTGGCGGTGTCCGTGAGCGCCTGTGCGAGGCGTCGCAACTGCCCCGTGAGATCTGCACTCCCCTCTCGTCCCCACTTGACAGCAGGGGAAACTGAGGCTCACGGCTGCTGGCAGGGGCGGGACTGGGAACCAATGTAACGTAAACGCCAGGGCTCCTCATCACTGTGCTCTTAACAAGTGCTTTCCGGGCCTCGGCTGCGCCGGGGCCTGTTCCAGGCACCGGGGGGCTCGCCCCCGATCCCCGGGCCTTTAGGAGGTCACCCTCTAGCGGAGAAGAGCTTTGGTGACTGACTGCGGGATTGTTGGGCAAAAATAATCCTCCTAAGACTCTTGGTGCGCCGGAGTCTGTTAAAGCCAGGTTCCGCAACCGGGAGTAAGTCCACTCCTGCCCCTACCGCGTGTGCAGCATGTAAACCGCACGGTAACCATGCCGATAACACGCCGGGGCGATCGTGCAGACCCGCCGGGGCCAGCGCTGAGCTCAGAGCGAGAGGTGGAGGGTCAAGCTGGCCTGACAGGCCCACAGCCCGTGGAGGGCAGTCAATAGGCAGAACAGGGTTCAGGCATGTCACACATTAATATATGTCGCGTTTTATTATCCTAATCATTCCCCATGTTTCCGTAACTTTCCAAGGGCAGGGAGCTGTCCTTTTTCCCTCCCTCTCCCCTCCCACTTAGCCCATTGCTTTCTAAATGGGAGTCACTTAAATTTTTGTGATTAATGGACTCTCCAGAGCAACGGCCATGATTTCTACGTTTCTTGTGTCCCACACAGTATCCTGCACAGTGTTGGGGAGGTTGTAAGACCTCTGGGTTGTTAGTGAAAGTGATAAATGCAATAACCTTATAATAGTTGTGCCATTGTAATTGTTTGTTTGAAAAAATCAAACAAACAGGGTGCTCTGGGTTCCTAAAGGAGGGATATCTGTCTGAGACAGTACTCAGATAATGCATCGTGGGGGAGGTGGTGTCTCAGCTAGCCCTGAGGGAGAGGAGGGGCAGGACTAGGGAGGAGAGAAGGGGAGGTCCAAGGGCCTGAGAGAGAGAGCGCGAGAGGTGGGCAGGTGTATGAGGCCAGGGACCAATAGTGGTTGAGCCACTCTTTGCATTCGAGGTGAGGGTGATGAGAGATCAGGCTGAAGTGACCAGCAGGGCTTTCCAGCTCATTTCGGACCCTATAACAGAGGGATCCTCAGGGCACTGGAGCAGACAGGATGGGAGACTTCCTGGAGGTGGTGCCCAAGCTGGGCCTTGAAGAGTGAGGGTTTGCTGGAGGGACGGGGAGCCAAGCTGACTTTCCAGCAGAGACCAGCAAGTGCAGAGCTCTCAGGAAAAAACAAGCCAAGTGCGGGAAACTGCCTGCCTGTGTGGCCCTACCCAGGCTGACACAGTGTCGTCTCAGCCTGCATCTTTAGAGATGTGTGTTCCCTAAGCACATCCACATCTGCATTTTTTGTTTCTGGAGTCGACAGAAGCACAGCTAGGGTCAAGAAGCACCAGTGGTGTTTGCAGTGGGCTCCAGGAGGCTCTGAGCCTGGCTGTGAAGGGCCTTGTCTGCACACTGCCCAGGGGATCTAGGTCTAGCCTGTAGGGCCTCAGCAGTGGAAGCCTGTAGCTGTGGCCCTTACACCTTAAAACTACGTGTAGAGGCTTAACAAATTGATGTAAATGGGCAGGGGCTGGGCTGTACAGCATACAGCAGTAACAAAAGGGGACTGCCCGAGTGCAGTTTGAGCTGGCCCTGTAGGGGAGCACTGAGCATCTGCAGAGGGATGAGAGTGCTTCGTGTGTGTGGACTAATCTGCGGAATAGTGAAAACAGCAGCAAAGTGCAGAGCAGCGTGTATAGCTGCGCGTGTGGTGCACGACCTCAGGGAAGGGACAGGAGGGCGAGAACAGCGTCTCCTCTGTGAAGCCTGAGATCCCTGGGGAGGAATTCACCAGGAGAACAGGTGCACTCATTGCCTTGGGAGAGGGGACCTGGCAGACAGCAAGGAGAGAGGGTTTTCATTGTACATCTGTTTGTATGTTTTAAAAATCCATTTACAAAAAATTAAGCTCTTGAATGTATTTACATGATTCCAAGCCACACAATTCAGAAATGTTTATGCCGAGAAGCTGGCTACCAGCCCCTCACACCACCCATCCCGGTGACTCCCGGCTCTCTCTGGCCATGGGGCTGCTCCCTTGTGTCACTTTTGAGCAGCCTCCACTCATTTAAGGGAGACTGAAGACTTTCGAGGTTAAACCTGCCCGTCCTTCCTGTTGGGTGCTGAGAGGTGCCCCAGCCACACACACTGTGTGTGGAACCTCATGGTCACAATCTTGCTGTGTTTAGTTATGGTGAACACCATCAAAGGTCTCTGAAAAGAAGAGGTTGCAGCCTCAGAGATGCACATGTGTGTGTCTCCCTGCGGAGACTTTCAGATGGCGTAGGGTAGATAATGCTCCTCTTCAGCGGGAGTTACATGTGGCAGTGAATCTACTTCCAGGTTGGGAGTGAGAATATTCCAGCAAATGAGATTACCACATATGAAATTCCTTGCTTCATAATGCACAGTGCTGTCCGTATAGGAAGTTGTTATGAAAATAAATCAAGTAGTAGATATCAAAGTGATTTGAAACAAACTTCTGTACAAGAACAAGGATATCCTTTTGGACCAACTAAAATAAAAATTCAGTGAATATTTTTAAATGTTCCTATATGAATGTCCTGGTTTTATGTTTTTTCTACTTAACTGGAAACTGCTTTTTATATTTCTCCACTCCAAGAGGAGCACATAGTTAATGCAAATTTTATTAGGACTGCCCTAATCAAATAATTAAAGTATATTTGTTGCCTAAAATCGCATTTCCAAAGTTGGATATAAAATAAAAGATTCCCATACTAACAAAGGGGATTGTATGTGGTAATCCAAAATAATAACTGGCTTACAAATCACTGAGGTTTAAGACAAGCTTACTGGATTTACAGCGGAAGTAAACTAGTCACAGCTGTTTAAGACAGAATAGACTGAGCGTTAGATGGCAGTGTCTTGACTGAACAGACCTCCATCTCCTAGTGAGGACTCGAGGAATGCCTGCTTACGTGGTTTGGGTTGCATTTTGTTCTCCTACTGCTGCAGGGTAGTAGAACTAGGTCAACACTTGCATTCTGTTGAATTTACTCTGTTTTTGGACTTGAACAATTTGTTGTGAGTGTAAATCTTATCACTTCCCCTGATTTTTTGATGTAGACATGGGAAGCCCTAGATTCTGGTCTGGTGTGGTGGAGTTGTGGGTACACAGGAGCAGGCCCACGATAGGACCCGGGGCCATGTGCACTGTGGGATTCCTTTCTGTTGTATTAATCAGGCTTACCCTTTGTTGCGATAGGTGCTTCCAAACAGGACATTCGTGAGCAGATTTGGGACTACATGGAATCACAAAATTTAGCTGACTTTCCCCGACCTGTTCATCACAGGATTCCCAACTTCAAGGTACTGAAGCATTCCTGGAGCATCCAAAAGGAAACCAGGATATTCCTAAATGAGTAACATTAGTAATACAGTTACCGTTGTGCTTCATGGTGGATTTGAATTCGGTGGACGGGAGTGGTGGTGTGAAATCCAGACCACCTGGCTGGGGCGTTTTTGTGTCTGGAGACATCCCTCATTGTGTTACTCGACCTTCACTCTCGGGGTCTCTTGCCTTCCTGTGCAGGGTGGGTTGTGTCTTGCCAGGAGGTGATGCTGAGGCCACTGTTTACCATTTGATGCAGAGTAAGACATTTATCCTGGCTGGGAGCATGTTATTGTTGGGATGTGTTTTCACCAAACTGGCTCTCTAGGAACAGTAAGGAGTAATGCTATCTGAGAGGGAAGCCCCACTGCTAGCGCCTTTGGAAAGAGAGGAAGGCCTTGCTAGTTCCTGCTGACTCCAAGCCTCGGTTTCCCCACTATTCAGGATAGAAGACAATCAAAGATGCCTGTCTTTGACGGTATTAATAGAAAAAAGTTTGTTCGAAATTGGCAATATAACACAACTCATGCTCTTGGGCACGCGTGCTTTCCACAAGAAAAAGCGCTTTTTGAAAATACACTGACAGCCCTGTCAGGCCTGAAGGAGGGTTGCCATCACCCTCTCCATTTTGGCTGGGCTTTCCCTGCACCTGGTTTCTCAGGAGCAAGCTCCAGCCCTTCTCTGGTCCTCGGCTGAGCTGGTTCAGAGGCCATCCTGTCCCTTTGAAACACTGTTCTTTTGTGTGGTTTTTGGAAGGCAGCTGTGCTCAGCACTGTACCACCAACACTGGATAAATTTTTGTTGCTATTTTGTTTTGTTTTAGTGCTTGTTACCCCAGGGAGAGAAAGGTATGTGAAGTACAGGGAAAACAAGAAAGATGCACAGAATTAGTAAAAAGTCTCTAAAAAGGCATCAACTAGGAGAGGTATGGGGGTTTTGGGTTAGTGGTAATAAGCTATTTCTTGATTTAGGTGGTGGTTACATGAGTGTGTTCATTTTGTGAAAATTCATCAAACTATGCTCTCATGATTTGTATACTTTTTGGAAAGTATGTTTTATTTCAGTAAAAAATAAGTTGGGGCTAGGTTAGCTTTCTCAGTCCCTTTCTACCCTGCCTGCTCTCTTAGATGTCTCTTTAGGTGACTGTTAGCTCTTGTCTCAGAATTAGCACACCCCACCTGTCTGGGTGGGGTGCTGGAGCAAACTGCTCAGGCTGTAGTTGGCCCGTGATCATGTTGTCCTCTCAGTAACATGCAATTGCGTTTAAAAACAGGGTGCTCCTCGTGCTGCCGAGCATTTCCCACGCTTGCAGGCATTCAAAGTGGCCAGAACCATTAAAGTCAATCCTGATGCTCCCCAGAAAAATGCTCGCTTCTTCGTCCTCGACGTAAGTGCAACTCTGTCTGTTTGCCTAACCAGGGCTCTTATCTGGCTTGCCAAAACATCAAAGACCTAGAAGGTTTTGCCAGAATGCAGGAAGTGAAAGTGGACCCTGATAAACCGCTGGAAGGTGTTCGGCTGCTGGCGCTGCAGGTAATCCTGTTTCCCTGAGTGGAGCCCTGGCTACTGACGGGTCATGTTCTCCAGGTGGCGGGTAAACGCGGGCATTCCTGTATTTGGAAGGGTGGCGCTTCTGACTCCCTCCCACACAGCGTGCCCTTGGAGTTGTTTTTGCCAGGAACAGTGTGGAAGTCTTGCAGTTGTTTAGCGGTCAGTCAGTCAGAAGTCCTGAATGTTTCTACATTCAAAGATAAAGGACATTCAAAGCGATGACATTGAGGCATTCTCAAATCTGATGTGCTTCATCAGAAGAGAAAGAGTACAATGTTTATTTCCTTCTGCTACATTTGTGATATAATTCTTTGAAACTTGATAACCCTTGATTTGATAAATGAGTCCCCAAAATATATAAATTAGAACAGTGTTTCTTAACATATATATAGGCCTCTTTTCAAGAAAAAAAAGAATTACCCCAGGGTTGCTTTAAATTAATATATTACAATTTAATAAGTATAAACATAATATTTGGTATAAATTTTAATGCTCATAGCTTTCATGCAACTATAAAACCAAAATAAGCATATAAATTAAATAAAACAACAGTAGAAAAGCAATAACATTCAAATAGCCGCACTCATTTAATGGAACGGCTGGTGGTGTGTTGCTGAAACCAGTCACTGCTGATAACATGAGCCTGGTGCTGAATGTCGCAGTGCGGGATCTGTGGAATCTGCCTTATGATGCCTTGGCTCATGTGCTGACTGGGTTCTCCCAGACTCCTGAGGAGCCGTGGTTACGCGGGCACCTTTCGTCCTGCGTGGAGAGCTGAATGTGCCAGAAGGGAAGTGAACAGGGATGAGGGGGGGGTCCTGATCTGGTTCTTGCAGCTGTCTCTTGTAGAAGATCATGTTGTCTGCTAATTGTGGTTCAGCCCCAAGAGGGGCCTCTCCTTCAAGCTCTTCTGGAAGCATTCTTTCTTGCCAGCCTTATTTTCCCAGTCAGTAAATCACTTTGATGAGCTAGGGTGATAGCAGCAGCAGCGTGAAGGACCTGCAGTGAGCACTTACTATGTGTGAGGCACAGTTCTAGCCAAACACCTTCCTGTATTGTTTCATTTAATTGTCCCATTGCCCTATAAGCATGATCTCTGTTCCCTATGACTTGGAGGAAACCAGACACGGAGAGGTCGAGTGTCTCGGCCAAGCCACACGTTGGGAATGGTGGAGCCGGGATTCTGACCCACAGTGTGACTCCAGAGCCAGTTCTCCACATGTTGGGAGAGTCGGGGTGTTCTTACCTCTCAGCCCCTCAGAGCACAGAATCAAAGGCCTTGAGTGTGCTGGTAATTAGATGAGTCAAGGCAACCTGTACGGGGAGTGCAGCCAGGTGGCAGGATGGAATAGCTGAGTCTTCACCGTCACTTCATTTATTCAGGGGAAGTCAACAGCTGAGCTGTTGAGAGTCTGCTGTATCCCAGGTCTATGTCGGGCACAGGGATGTAGTGGTGAAAAAGACACAAAGACACATGTGGTCCCTGCCCTTTAGGGCTATAGGCTCCTCAGTGGTTTCTGGAGACTTGAGTGGGTCAAGAATCACCTGGGAAGCAGCTAAACCTGCAGGCTCCTCAGCTCCACCTGAGTGCAGGCAGGGATGGTGATACACATGGCCACAGACCACACCTGGGGACACAGTGGCCTGTGCTTGGGGATGCAGCTTCCCAGACTCAACCCCAGACCTCGAGCTGGTTTCTCGAGTCTGTTTTTAGTAAACACCCTGATGGCACTTGGAGAGCCGCTGTCCTTATCCTGTGCAGCGTTTGCTGACCCTGGCTGCACGTTAGCACCACCCGGGGAGCTTTGAAGACTGTCTGCTGCCGAGGTCAGGTGCTGAATCAGAGGCACTGAGTGCGTCTGGACCTTGCTGAGTCTTAAAGCTCCCCAGGTGATCCTGATGTACAACTAGGGTTGAGAGCTACTGAGCCGGAGGCGAGCAGCTTCCAGAAAAGAGGGAGTAACTGGAATAATCTGTAGTACACCAGAATCTGGAGACGGCACATGAAATGAACCCAAACCTCTTTAATTCTCAAAAGGAAAGTAGCACGTGGTCATGACTTGTGTTGAAAATACTCTTCTCTTGTGGTTGCAAACCTTGAAGTAAGCCAGACTGTGGTTTTATAGGCCTTTTATTAGTCTCAGGCTGTCATCGCCTGCACAAAAACTAAAATATACTATTTTTTACACAAAAGATTTTATCAATTTTATGATTGCCTCATGTCTTACCCCTGTGTAATCTGCAGAGATGCCCTTGGGCGGTGGTTCTCCACCTTCCCTGTGCATCAGTCACCCAGTGGGAGGTGCTAGGCCCCGCCCCCAGTGCCTCTGATCATTTCTAACAAGTGCCCAGGGGGCTGCTGATGCTGCTGGCCTGGGGCCCCCACTTTGAGAATCCGTGCTCTGGGACTCACAATAAGGCATCTGAGAACTAAAAAGAAGGCGGCTCTGGACACAAGTCAGTATTGAATATTGATTATAATGAGTACTGATCTCTTAAACTGCTTTTCATTGAATGGCAAATGGATATAAATGCTTGATGGAATAACGTTTTTAATGTAGCCATGCTATGCCAGTTTCAGATTAAAGCATTGAAACTGTATACTGTTAATGCTGAAAACAGAGGGTATAGGAAAGGTATGGTTGGAATTTCTGTGAGAACAGATCTTTGGATTTGCATTATCATTTTTTTCATGTAACGAATTTGAATGGCAAGTTAATTAGAGTTAGCAACTTTAACAGACACCATGCCTCTTCATCGTAAGGCAGGGTAGAATAGTGGCTCTAAGTAAAATTGACCCCCACGTGTTATTTAATTGGATTTTCAAACATATCATTTCCTTGGCGCATACCACAAAATGCAGATAATAGTAACTTGCCTCTGTTAAAAACATACGCAAGACAGTTCCTGTATCATTTTGTAATTGATTGATTTTCTTTTAAAAGAGTAAGAAAATGCTGTTGGTTCCAACACCGCGACTGAGAACAGGGTTATTTAATAAGATCACACCACCCCCTGGGGCAACTAAAGACATCTTGAGAAAATGTGCCACGTCTCAGGTAAGTGTGAGAAGCAACATCACCCAGGAGGAAAGAACTGTTCACAGCTGTGCCTCTGGTGAGTTAGAATAGCATAAAATACACCACAACGTTGAAATCTGTTAACAAAGCCAAATGAACAGAGATGTTAAAGTATTCCGCAATCCTATCATTAAAGGAGCCAAGTAAAAAAAATATGTATTCTGTTTGTGTAACAGTTTCTATTTTGCACCAAGTTGGCAAATTGTATATTTCCTGTTAGAAAAGAAAAGAAAAGGAAAAGCAAGTTGTCTGGTACTGTGGCGTCCTGTAGTCTTAAACTGTGACGTTGCTCTGGCGCCCTCTAGTGTTAACCAGTGACATCGTCTAGCACCCTATGGTGTTTTCCTGAATGCCACCACAGCAGTTGGGGACAGTGGAATTTCCAAAATATGTTCCATTGGAAATTGCCTCACCAGTTCTAAAGTAATAATGGCTGTAGTAATTTAGTAATGTGATTTTATTGAATGCCTTACAATGTAGTAAAATCAAAATGTGTAAATATTACACTGGGGTGCATTATAATGTAATTTCCTTGTATTTTACAGATAAGGAAATAGAATTTGGTGACTCTTTTCAAAGTCCTAGAGTAGACCTCAGGCCATTTGATTCCTCGTATACTGGGAATAAAAAATAGGGCATCAAGGTATTCCCTCTTTTTTAAGGGATTTTCTACTTGTCTGATGCATAAAAATTGAATATTTTATTGTTACTTATTGATAACCTGTCTTATGCCAAAAATGGAATTTGATGTGGCTTACAAAAATACATATAATAAAGTAAAGTAATAAGATATGTGTAGAAAAAGGAGCAAAGAGAAAATGAAGGTAGAAAAATAGGAGACAACCGTGGTTCTGGTGAGTGTTCAACAATACAAACCGTGTGACTCTCTGGAGTCGTCAGACGTGGGCCACAGATTTGAGCCCACATTTCCTAGAGCCAACAGGGAAAGTGATTCATTAAGTCGTAGGTTCCAGACAGTCAGAGCAGTCGTTTTCCTGGGATCGAGGTCCAGGTCAGATACATCCATGGTGCTGGTGTGGTGGCCTGTGTCACCCTTAATGGCATCTATGCTTCCCCTGCAAAGATGACTGCTCATTGCCAGGAGTCCCCGTGAAGCACTGGCACTGGCTGGTCCCTCCCAGACACTCCTGAAAGTATGGCCAGGTCCAGGGTAAAGCCAGACCAGCTCTCACAACTGAACTTTCAATGAGATTGAACAGCAGCATTTGGGCATTTTATAACATGAGATACCAGATCAAAATCAGAGATCCAGGGTCATGAACCTCAAAAGCATTTTCATTTTCAAGGACTTGCATTTAGAGCTGAGGACTGATTTGACTGTTGGGAGTCCCCACACTAATCACACATACTGACTCTCTAAGTGACTTGTCACACACTTATAGACAGGGCCCCACACCACACCCAGTGACCTGCCACTGCCAGGTCCTGTTCCCTACAGTGCCCTGATCTGGCTCCCTAGATTGACCTGTGCCCTCCTTATCTGAGAACCAGACCACATCAGCCGCCCTATTCTTTAAAGACAAGCCTCCGTTAGTTAGTGTAAATGGGTGCATTTTGGTTAAATAAGTAGTATTTCAGAAGTGATATGCTGTGCATGAAGATAACGGCCTCCAGTATTTCATATGGAATTCAGATGTCATACATGTTTACTGATCATGTCTTACGTGCCAGATGTGTTACCTCTGCTCTCCCATTTCATTCCCACACCAGTCCTGGGAAACAGGCTCCAAGAGGTTCCTCCTGCTGAGGTTACAGGGCTAGGAGGGATCTGGACCCAGCTCTGTGTGACTCCCGAGTCTGTGTTCTCACCACTATTCTGCTGCCTTATGGGAAAAATGATTTGCTAAACATTATGAAATTAATATCCTATTCATTTGTGTTGTTGGTTCCTCCTGGTGTCTTTCCTGGGGAGGGAATTCTGGGAAGTTATTCTAAAGTGGGTTCTGAGCTCTGGTTTCCCTGCAGTGCCTCTCCGCAGTGCCTCGTGTCTGTTGCAGGGCAGTGCGAGTGCTTGCTCCATATAGGAGGTTGATTCACACCCCGAGTGCTGCTTTTAGGGGGAAGCTCTCAGGTCGGCCTCTGTGTTCGCAGGGCATGAGGAACTTCAGCACTCCCGTGGGCTTGGATTCCAGGGTCCAGGTGGACTTAGTTGTGGTGGGGTCCGTCGCTGTTTCTGAAAAAGGTAAGATTAAACACAGAAACTCAGGGATACGACCACTTACCCTGCAGCTTGCTGCTCCGCCAGCCTTCTGTTCATCTTACGGAGGCTGATGGTACCTCACTCCAGCTTTCTGGAGGCATGCCTGGCCTCCTCAAGCACCGCACCTCTCACTCATGCTGAAGAGTTAACTCGGTCCCTCCCACGCTCTGCCCCACTCAGCGCCTTTATGGCATCTTCACTTTCTTAACAGGACAAATAAAGTGAGATAAGCTCTCTTCAGGTGGTGAAAGCTTTTCCCTGTGTTCTTAAGTTGACTGGAACTGGAGCTGAGTTTATTTGCAGTATGTCAGTAAATAGTTGGTTTTAGAGAGCCTCCAGTAAGTGGAGAAACATTAGGTTCTAAGCCTCGTTTCTGTTATGAAGCGGCAGCCTCCTGGACAGCGCGGGTGCCCCAAGCCTGCCTCCTGAAAGCCTGGTGCTTTCTCTGTAGGCAGGTGAGCAGGGCGGCACCACCGCGCCAGCGTCTGCGCTCTGCCGAGCCGCCCCCAGGACCTGGGCCCCTGCGGACTCCTCCCCCTCCGCTCTGCCCCAGGCTCAGCTTGATGCTCTTTGAAAACGATCCGTTCATACTACAGCAGGATCAGTAGGTTCCAGTGGGGTCAGCCCATCGCATACCTGCACTTGTATAATGTAATTTGGCCCCCACTGGGAAAGCGTTCCCTCTCCTCCCTTCCTTCCAAAAGAAAAAAGGAGAGAACTGTCCAATGACGCTCATCAACTCTCTCTTTGAAAAATTAATCCGCCAAAGCCCAGTTCTTCCTTCAAGAGAGGTTCCCAGTGGTGAGAGATGGTCGAGATCATTCATTCCAAACCCTGAGCATCATGTTTTTAAATGTTGGCCTTTAATATCTTCACCTTAAATTTACTCTTTTCCCAGCTCTCACTCTGGGCTAGTGTGTGAGATGTTGTAGTTCTTTATTCTTTGTTTCTGTGTATTCCCAGTTACAGATGTTTCATCTGTGTCATCAGGGATGGGTACACATGGGCACACTTTTCTTGTGTGCCTGTCTTGTGCCAGGTGGGCACTGGGTGTCTCTGCCTTGAGCCCACAGTGAGTGGGAGGAGCAGACACGATAGCTGAACTAGGATACTCTTGGTACTAGAAACAGAAGTCAGAATGGACATTAATGGGTTCAGAGGAGGGACCTGTGAACCTTGAGCATCATCTCAGAGGTGACCTCAGGGCTAGCTCTTGTGTGCCAGGTGTTTTCAAGGCAGGTAGAGCAGGAGAGGGAGAAGGAGCTAGTGTGGTCACGTGGCGTGGCCCTTTGGTGGTTGGGGTTGGCTTTCCAGAGACCTTGAGGCCAGGTGACAGGATTTGGGCTATACTCTTTTGGCAATGGGACATTAGCAAAGATTTCTTCTTTGAAAAGATCATCAGGAGTTTTCTTTTTTAGCTCAGGATGTATGAAGAAGAAAACAATGTTTTGTAAATATCATCATCCAGGTAACCCCCTGATTAAAGCAACAGAATCACCATGCGCATGTTTAGAAAATTTGAATAGCACAGAAGCATCCCTGGGCACCTTCCCTCTTGCTGTCCCCGCACAGCCCCATCCTTGTGTCCATACACGTAATACCAGCGCTGTGAGATCCAGGTGTCCCATGTATTCCATGTGTGGGTTGTGTGTCCGTCCTGTGTCCATTTTGGCAGGAGGGCAGCAGCACTCAGGGCGCTCTGGGCTGTGCTGGAGGACGGATCTCCACAGTCTGCTGTCAGCGCAGATGGGTCGGCCTCCTGCTGTTGAACAGCCCTGACTGATAGACATTTCAGTTATCTCCAGGATTTGGTTTTGATTTTTCCCTTACAGATAACGCTAGAATGAGGGGTAGTCTTGTCATATGGTGTAGGTGTGCCTTTGAGGACTGTCCATGGGGTAATTCCTAGGAGAGGAATTGCAAACCAAAGGGTACATTTTAAATCCTGATGGATGTTGCCAAATTACCCACCAGAAAGGTTGCCCACCTCACATCCCCGACACCTAAGGCCTTGCCTCTCTCCCCACTCCCTTATTAATAACTAGAATTATCCAACTTTGATTTTTATCCATCTGATAGTGAATAATGGTATTTCGTTTGCTTTTTGATTTGCATTTAGTTATGAGTATGAGTGAAGTTGAACGTTTCTCATATGTTTGCTATTCACCTGCCTGTCTCTCTCTCTGGACTGTTCGTATCGTTTGCTATTTTTCTGTTGAACTGCCTTTCTCTTGTTTCTTTGCATGCATGCCTTTTACTTGTAAAAGTAGCAAGATCAGAGTGGGATCTTGGAAAGATGCATGAGCAATGATGCTTATACTCTTGGTAATGATGCTGATGTGATGTTAAATAGAAGTCACAATTTCTGAAATGCCGTGGGCTTCCTAATGGGAAGATCTGTAGACTAGTCTTGGGAGCTAGAAGCCATTTTAGCGTTCGCTGTCTTGCTGCTTTCTTTTCTCCTGCTCAGCTTCCCCTTGAGCTCCAGATCACTGTTTCGTTGTGCGGCCGTTTACGAATTTGCAAAATAGTACTAGTACTACTGCTTAACCGCCCCTTCAAGGACGGTAGGGTTGAGTGGGTTAACTATTCAGTGCTTTTTACGAGACCGGGCTATGCCATCTTAAATCATATCACGTATCCCTCATTTTAGAGTTTTTATTTTCTCTGCGAGGGAAATACATGGAAAAGATTTTGCCTTTAATAGGAATTTGTTCTTAATCTTTTAAAAAACTACTCTTTCAGTGTTTTTAAACGTGAGTCCTGCCAACATAAAGCTCACATAAACGAAAGCTCATTTTCCTTTGTAAAGGAAAAGTTTCCATGTTTAAGAGGTTTGAAGTTCTCTTCGTTGTGTGTTACCCACTGTACATATTCAGTATTGTCATTCCTCTCCAACTTCTGTAAGTCCGTATTTGGTGGGCTGCCTGTGGGGTTACTATGGAAGTTTCTGTGGAAGGGCCAGGGATATTGGGTCCACGTTTCTCCTTCCATTGTGTGTGACACAATGAAAAATTTACTTCTAAAGGATTTGCCAGACCCCACAGAGATATTGATTCTCTGTGTTGTTTCTTAGGCTGGAGAATTGGGAAGGGAGAAGGGTATGCTGATCTTGAATATGCCATGATGGTGTCCATGGGAGCAGTCAGCCCGGGGACGCCAGTGGTCACCATCGTCCACGACTGCCAGGTGCTTCCTGTGAACGGGCCAAGCAGAGCCACTGCCACGCTCCTCTGAGAGAGCAAGGGGGCGGGAGGGAGGGAGAGAGAGTGGTCTCTGCCTTGACTCTGTGCCATGTTGTGAGTGGTGTTGATCAGCCGGGGCTGGATTCGTTTGCTGGCACAGTAGCTAGGCCTGATCCACGGTGGGTTTGGGGAGCATCATACTGATGCACTACATCTAACTTAGTGGCGCAGTGAACACGACTGCAGCCACATTCCTCGACAGCTCTTTTACCCACTTCTGTTTGACCAGGTCGTCGACATACCTGAAGCGCTCCTTGAGGATCACGACCTCACGGTGGACTATATTCTCACTCCAACGAGAGTCATTGCCACGGGGTGTGAGCGCCCAAAGCCAGCGGGAATCATATGGTCCAAGGTGGGTCACCGCATGGCATCGAGGGAGGCTGCAGCATCCCGTGGCCAGCTCTGGCCATAGCCTAGAGGCATCTCCTCTTTTAACTGTGTTCTCTCTCTGGCATGGCAGCTGTCCCCAGGCCTGGCGTGGCTGTTAGAGTTACCTGTGAGCTTTTGAACAATTCAGCTCCTGAATCACAGTCTCTAGGCATGGGCCCAAGAATCTATTTTGCAAACCCGCAGGTTTTGACAAGCAACCAGGTTCAGGGTCTCCTGCTGCAGACACCCAGCCGTAGGTGGCAGCAGGGACCACATCGCCGGGAGGGCTGTGCCCTGAATCTATTTGCCAGCCGGTTTTCATTTCTCAGAGTTGCCTTCCACCATCCTAGCTACAGCAGGGTCCTATCTCATCGGTTTTTCCTTTTGCCAACCCAAATTTTCTCCCTGTGGTCTGGATCTGCAAGCAGAACTAAATCGAGTAGGAGGCAGTACCAAAGCCTTCATCTGCTGCTGCCTTTGTGACTTTTATCTCCAGAATAGGCAGGGGCACATAGTACGGATTGGTCTGCGTAGGAGTTTGACCCAGAAGCCAACCTGTAGGTTATGATACCGTCTGCTGGCAAGCAGCCAGAGTCACTGAGAAAGCAGGGAGAGGTTGTGCTTCACTTGGATTGAAACCCGTGGCCAAATAAGCGTTTGGCCATTTCCTATTCCTTGAACCTGAATCACCCAGAGTTGGAAGGCAGCCTTCCTTTGGGCGTGGGAAATCAACAACATCCACCTCCATGATGAACACCGACATGAAACGCCCTGCGCTTCTACCGCAGCCCAGCAGGCTGTTCCCTGCAGACACAGGCGCCACAGGCGGGTGGGGTTTGGGCCATCGCGGACCTGCACTCCTTCTGGGTTAGCCCCTGATAAAGGCAGACAGGAGGAGTGTGTGAGACTCAGAAGTGAGTGCACCCCGAGCACCAGGGAGAAGGCACTGACACCCTTCATGATATTAAAATGTCCCTTGGTGTCTTTCGTAAGAACCTGGGTTCACCTTGGAATTTGGATCCACAGCATCCCGTTTCAGTGGAGGCTGACACACGGGTCACAGGAGCGAGGTGCTGTTTGCTCAGAGCTGAGAACACAGGCCCCAGGAGGTTGCACGTGGGGGCTGGCCACAGTGAGGCCATGGGTCCCCTGGGGGCCCACACTTCATAGACGAGGACCGATGCAGCACACGTTAGGAAGATTCTGGGTGGCCTCTCCAGGAAGAGAGAGATATGTGGCCTTGGAGAATAGCCATGGTTACGTTGTGCAGATTTTAACAAGAAAAATATAAAAATGGCAACAAGTTAGGGTATCAGTTGGGTTAGGCAAATATAATCCCTCTTATATAAAAAACCAGACTCAACCAAAGCTTCCTAAGAAGCGGTCAGCCACACTGGTGACTGGTGTGCGTGAGGCATTGGGGCCTTTACTGCTTGTTGGGACCTCGACTTTTTCACCCTCTTGCCGGAAGATGCTAACATTTAATGAGGCCTTGGCAAGAATCTCAAACTTTTCAAAGGCCGTTTCTCATATTTTGGTCGTGTGCTCTCAGCTCTGCCACCTACTTGTGGTCCCTTTGCGTGGGTCACACGAAGGCAGTGACTTTGTCCAGCCCCTGGGGCTTTCTGTTTTGGCCTTGCTACGCTGCAGCCAGAGTGAATATCCCTCAACATTGGGGAAAAAGTCCTGAATTTCACTGAAGATTTAGAGAGGGGGTAGGGGAAGTTCAATGCTGGGTTATAATATTATTTCAGATTGACTATTTGGCAAACACTGGTATATCCTTCCACAATATTCTACCCACAGACTCTCTATCACGTAGGTATTAGAATCCAAGAATTTGCCTCTTGTCTATTTTATTGGAATATCTGGAGTCATATTTTTCTTCTGAACACTGCAGACCACTCAGATGAAGGTTGTGAAATGAGTACAAAATGTGATGCATTTTTTTCACTTGTCCTTGGTACACAAAGATTGTGCAGCATTTGATTCCCTGGCTTTTGTTCCAGCTTTTCAAGAAGTAAGGGTCCTGCCACAGCCTGGAGACCAGCCTGGTGTGGACTCCTGTCCGACTGCAGTTACTTCCAGCAGTGGATCTCCTCGACCTGCCTTCTGAGTCCACACAGGCTTTTCTCCGCCTGTGCCTCCTGAGTTTAACTACAGAGACCAGGTGGCACGGTGGTTTAGAGCATGAGTTTAGAAGTCGCCATTGTACCACTTAGTCGCTGTGTCTGTAACCTTGGGCACGCCCTCCCAAGTCCCCCGGTTGTTTGTCTGTAACGTGGAGATACTGTTGGTACCAACTTCACAGGTTGGTGCGAGGTAGTGTGTGTAGAGTGCCTCACCTGGTGCCTGGGGAGCCTTTGCTGTTGTCATCATCGTGGTAACAAGGGTGAAATGGTGGTTAGTTGTTGTGAGAAATCTGCCTGGACACTGTGGCATGCTTTTCCTTCTCGTCACTGCTGGCAGAATCCTTACGGTAGTCCTTCGGGTAGTTTACTGAGCTGAGACTGGGTCTCACTGTGGCTCTGTGTGGCTGTGTGTTGTTACATGAGGCCCTGCTGTGCCCTTTACTACCTTTACTGCCTCTCAGTGAAGGAGAAGACAGAGACGCAGGAAGGAGAGGGAGAGGCACAGAGACGTTCTACTTTCCCTTCCTCCTTCTGGAAGGTGTGTCTACTCTGTGCACATGGGGCCCTTTTGTCTCTCAGGGTGGTCTCCCACCTGGTGACCTGTAGAACTCGGTATAGGGTGCCACGACTGCTCCACCTCATCCACGGGCCACCTCCCTTGAGAACCCAGAGCTCCCTGAACCCCAGGTAGACTGAGTCCACCCCAGTGGAAGGAAGTGCTTTCCCCCAGGGTCTCTGCTGGGCTGGAGGACGGTGCAGGGGACCTGGCCATTGAGGTGGGAGTATGGTCCTGAACCTCAGACAGTTCTTCCAGCTCAGATGACCGTTTAGTCTCTGAGACAGTAATCCAGATGTCCCTACCTGTGGACAGTCATGTGTAAGATGATCTGTGATGGGCCGAGAGCCCTTGGCCTGGATGCCTTAGCTCTGGCAGGAGGAAACTGAAAGTCCCTGGCCAGCTAGCATCTTGCAGCCCCACCCACAACCTGTCAGCTCCCGGGGCTGCGAGTTGTCCGGCGAGTCATGGCAGAGCAGTAAAACATCCTGCTCAGGAGTGTGGCCGCCTGCTACACCCAGGTGAGTGTCTAGAAAGCCAGGGTAGGATGGAGCCCTCTGTCCGCCAGCTCCTCTCACACAGCCCCGCTGGACTGGACCTCTGGACAGCCAAGACCCATGCCTTTTTTATTATTTCCTGCTGAGCTAGACTGAGGCAGAGGGAGGGTAAAGGACTGACTTTAAGAATACCCTGGGGGCCGGCCCCGTGGCTTAACGGTTAAGTGCGCACGCTCCGCTACTGGCGGCCCAGGTTTGGATCCCGGGCGCGCACCGACCCACCCCTTCTCCGGCAGTGCTGAGGCCGTGTCCCACATACAGCAACTAGAAGGATGTGCAACTATGACATACAACTAACTACTGGGGCTTTGGGGGAGATAAGGGGGGGAAACAAAAAAAGGAGGAGGATTGGCAATAGATGTTAGCTCAGGGCAGGTCTTCCTTAGCAAAAAGAGGAGGATTAGCATGGATGTTAGCTCAGGGCTGATCTTCCTCACAAAAAACAAAAAACAAAAAAAAGAATACTCTGGATGCTGCTGGCCCAGTGGTGTAGCAGTTGAGTGCGTGCGTTCTGTTTCGGCGGTCCAGGGTTCGGCGGGTTCGGATCCTGGGCACAGACCTACTCATTGCTCATCAAGCCGTGCTGAGGCGGCATCCCACATAGAGCAACAAAAAGGATGTACAACTATGACATACCACTATCTACTGGGGCTTTGGGGAGAAAAATGGAAAAAAGGAGGAAGGTTGGCAATAGATGTTAGCTCAGGGCCAATTTTCCAAAAAAAAAAAAAAAGGGAATACCCTGGAGACATGGGCAGACAGTGAGGTGTGGCTGCAGCTCCATTGAAACAGCTGCACCGGTAGGGCCCAGGGCACCCATGAGGCTGTATCCCCACCAGCCGCAAGTCAGAGGACTGCCCCCACGCCCCCTAAGTAAGTGCCGTGGAGGTGTTGTCCCTGCTTCCCAAGGACAGCAGCCTGACACTGTTGACCAGAATCTGGACAATTGACTTGCTCAAATCAACTCATGTTTTCCTTAATGAAGGAAATGGGATTCTGCCAGGGTCATTCTCATGTTTAGACTCAAAGAAACAAATGATGATGTAGCTTCCACAGCACGGTCTGTTCACCCCTGCACGGCCTGTTTGGGAGGGCTGTTCTAAGATGATCACAGCATGCTGCGTTGATTTCCTTCTTGAGAAGGACAGACTCCTCAAGAGAAAGGATTTGGGAAAAGGAGCTCTCCTGTGATCAGCAGCAGTCCTGGGACATTGAAGCTCCATTTCAGATCCCATGGAAACACTTGTTCTCTGGAAGTAACAGCTAACTGTGAACTGACACCTACCTACAACTGGGCTAGTAAGTTAAGAGGGCTGATAGATGCTTTTATTTTAAAAGAACTACTAAGGCCGGCCCAGTGGCGTAGTGGTTAAGTTCGCACGCTCCACTTCGCTGGCCCGGGGTTTGCGGCCCTGATCCCGGGCACGGATCTACACACTGCTCATCAAGCCGTGCTCTGGCGACATCCCACATACAAAATGGAGGAAGATGGGCACAGATGTTAGCTCAGGGCCAATCTTCCTCGCCAAAAAAAAAAAAAAAAAAGAATTACTATATTTGACCCAATAACTCATCTAGGAATCTGTCCTAAAGAAATACTTATAAATTCACATAAAGATTGATTTATATGTATTCAGGTATACGGCAGTGCCTTAAATAGGGGGGAAAGTTAGTTTCCTACACTTTAAGTGCATACAGCAATCTTTAATGGCATGAGAACATGCTTATGGTATAATACATACTAAGTGGAAAAAGTAGAATATAAATTTATATGTTCGATATGTAATTTTGCGTTCTGCTCATTATGTTAAAATATGCATAGAAAAAAGATGGAAAGAAACACATCAGAATATTAACTAGTTATTTCTGTGAGGTGAGATTTCAGATTTCTTTTCTACTTTTGTTCCCCCAAATTTCCCACAACAAGTACATAGTACTTTTCTAGTAAAACTATTCAGTGGAGAAAATATTAAATTTGGTAACCATTTTCTAAGCTAGACTTTCAGCCTGGGTGTGTGTGAATCCAGTTTCGCAGCATTGAGGTGTGCAGTCTCTGGTCCCCAAGCTCTCAGGTGGTGAAAACGAGAGTTCAAGGTCCGAGATGGTTAAACATGTGCCAGTTCTTGAATTCATGTGCTTGTGTACGCCGGTCTGTCCAACATGTTTGCATCAAGCTTATCCCTGTATACTGAGAAGTGGACCACAGGGCCACTCTTCCCCAGGGGGCCGACATTCTGGGATATGGAGCACCATGGACCCCAGAAAATAACAATGTTTTTACTAAATAATTTAGTGACTTCTGGGCCACTCCCAAGTAGCCCATCTCTTCCTGACACTGGGGAACCGCCTGATACAGAGATGGTGTGGTCATTGCCCCTGCCTGTCCTTCAACACCCACAGTAGGAGCGTGATTATAAAGGGGCAACACTGTGGAGACTCCTTCTATTAAGTGGCACCTTTGATCAATTATGTGCAAAAAGATGTCTTAAATGAGCAGCATTATAATTGAGACACTATAGTTAGAAAGTGAATAGATGCTTCAAGGCGTGGGTGACCTGTGGGCTTTATGCTCCTCTCCTAAGCATGCCTATTCCTGGAATTATTTCACCTTGATCATTTGGAGGCATCCAAAGGCATTTTCATCAGTGAATGAGCTTGAGTCTCTTGCAAGAGAACTAACCATTATTGTGTTGTGGAAGTTGTTTTTCATGTTAGAAACACTTTCGGTGTTTCTATTTATCTTTGCCAGCCGCTGCTCAAACATGTCCGAGCATTTTAGAACAAGAAGGATTTTAAAGATCATCTCTCCCAGTCTCCTTATCTTCTGGTCAAGTAAGGTGAAAGCCAGGAAGAAAGGTGACTTACCCACAGCTATAAAACCAGTGTGTAGCGGAGGTAAGGTTACAACCCAGGTCTCTTCCTCTTGGGTTGGCAACAGATGTCTTGCGAGTCAGAGTTCTGATTTGTATTGGACTTAGCATGTATTTCTAGGGGACAGATCTTTACATTTCATCTTGAAAGAGAATATATATTTATAAATGACTGGCATCTGTACGCTTCAGTGAAGAGTGATTGTAGCATATAAAAGAAAATCAGATTTGCGTTATACAATTTTTTAGTGGAATGATTAGTTACAGAAGGGGAAAAATATTTTTTTTATGTTTGATTAACAAGCAATATCTTTCATTTCACATGGCAAATTGACAAAATGTAACAAATGTTCCTAATTGCCAGCCAGAAGAAACAGAGCAGCACCACCGTGGCCCTGTCCTCAGCCAGTCCCGCCTGTCCCGTGGGCTCACAGAGGCCTTTCTGTCAGTGTGGGATGGCGACCAACCCAGGCCGCCCCACAGAGAGTCCAGAAATGGCGAAAAGCTGCGAAAGTGGCAAAAGCCACCTCAAAGTCAGGGAGGTTTTTCCATTTAGAACTTGGGGGGGGTGTGGAAGAGGGGGCTGACGTTGCTCTTGAAACGACCATTTCCACTTCTAAAGATCCCTCTGTGTTAGCCTGTGTGGCGTGCTGTGGACTTCATTAGTTCATAGTGCGTGGTTAAACATTTTCATTATTCTGCAGCTGATTGCAGCTTGTACGTGCGCCAGCTCAGGATCAAGTAGCTCCCTGTGATGTGTGCAGAAGGGTGTATTTTTGCTTCACTCGACGTGTTTCAGAATGGATTTCTGCTGCCCGAGTGTGGAGCCTGCCCCATGGGTCAGGTTTCCTGAGACACCTATGTCTGCCTGAGGGAGCCCTGTGGTTCCGCTGGCAAAACACACGGAAGTCACGCACTTGAGGGGTGGTCAGCTGGCCAAGATAGCTCCGGAACAGGCGCCGGAGGAAGTGCGCTGTTTCCCAGGAGGGCGCGTGGTGGCTCCTGCTGCGGGTGCTCAGAGTGGAGTAAGATTTAGTTCTTCCATGGAAGTATAGTCACACTTTTTCCCTGACTGAAATTGCAGTTTTAAACTTGATCATCCTTTCCAAATACTAGATCTAGTAACTTAAGAAATCCTTGAGATTTCTTAAACTGGAATCTAATTATGACCAGTTTAAATCTGTTTTTAAATGCTCTGAAAGATAAGACAGTAGAACAGGGACATGGAAAGGAGTTGGGTTGCCTGGACTCGGATCATCTTTGGGGTTCTTTGGGACCAGAACCTCTAGGGTGCTGGTCTGTGGGTATAGTCACCTTCGGATGAATCGATTCATAAGAATTGCAGAGGGTCAAGGAGAGAAAAATTCCTTTTGATTAGCAAAGAGCAGTCACATCTTGTGACTATCTCCATGGCATAGACGTGATTTTTGTTTGTTTTTTCTTTGTGTCTGAACAATGGGAAACGTTAGAAGGAGCAGGCCTGTCTTTGCACCATGCTTCTACAGCAGGTGAGAGTCTGTGTGCGGTTCTGAAGAGCAGCGTGGACTAGCGCCACCCTCGAGGCTCCTGACACGGCAGTGCCAGGGAGCAAGGGCAGTGACGGTTGGAGAGCGCCCTGATGCACAGAAAAGGCCTTGCTGAGGGGAAGAACGTTGTCTGCTTGGCACTGGGAGAGAGAGCAAGGTCCTACATTAATGAGGACTAGGAGCCTTTAGGTTTGCGAGAAGGCACTTGACTGTTCTTAGGTGTTTGTGTTTCTTTAAATCTCACTCTAACTTGTTGGTTCTTAGCCTGGGGCTTGTGCAGCTCTTGTGGGGTGGAGGTCTGCGAACAGACACTGGGAAAGTGTACACGTAATTGTGGGGGGTCTTGCTTGGGAGGGAGCCTCAGCTTCTCTCAAAGGTCCCCAACACCCGCCAAGGAGAAGAACCATCTCTCTAAGTTACATATGATCCTGAATATAATGAGAACGTTGATGCTAGTTGAACTATTTATTTTTGTAGAGAAATTATACCTGTGTACCTCACGTGCTGATCTGTATTCTGACATACCCACATCTGTGGGAAGCCCCGTGTTTGGACCATTGCTTGCCTCTTGGTAACTGTGATCATTTAAAAGCTTTGAGCCCAAAAAGAAAGACAGAAAGCGTCTGTAGGGAATGAGAATGTTCAGAAAGGACAAACCAGTGTCTTTCTGTTCCTTTTCTGCCATGTGATTCCTCCAACAATGTGAGAGCAGTTCTGCCCTGGGCTCAGTTGTGCAGGTGCAACCTGACCGCGTGGGCGGCCCCCAGTCTCCACATTTCGGGCTGGATGGAGCCAGTGCCAGTCTGTTCACACTGGCTGAACCTCATGTATTGGGACTCTTCTGCCGCCTCCTGTGTTGCAGATTTCAGGAAATATTTGTTTGTATAGGAGTCCGATTCCTTGAAACTTAACATTTTTTGTAGTATTTCTTATTTTGTAGCTTGATGACCCATTGCTAGAAAGTATTTTCAAAGATGGCATTCTATTTTAGATTTGCCTTGTTTCTGCTGTTTTGGCAACACCTTGAAAGGTCTGGTCCCTGAGAAATGTTCCTTTAGTGGAGAGGTGGAGAGGAGGGGGAGGCGATCCCTGTGGATCCACCCAAAGGGATAGGTGGGGGGGCAGGGATGGAGGCAGAAACCCCCCACTCTCCTGGGGGGTCCCCAGGGGAGTCATAACCCTCATACTAGTGACAAGCCAGGGGGGTCAAAGCTACTGATTAAGACAGCGGGGGTCCCACTTCCCGGAGGGCCAGGCTGGGCCATTCAGCATCTAATCTGTTGGTGCAGCGTGGCAGGTAGCAGCGTGGCTGGCTGCTCATGTGAGTGTGTGGCAGAGGCCCTGTGTGACTTCGATTTCTCCTCCCTCGTGACCATGTCGTGGTCCCTTGTGGACACCTCGAGAATAGCTGGAATCGCTTTACTTTTTCAGATCAGCTGTGAGATGATGGGGAAAATCCCAATACTGAGGAGCCTTCGAAACCGAGAGAAGCAGGCTGGGAAAGACGTCACCCTTCAGGATGAGCCCCAGCACCTGGAAACGGGCTGTCAGCAGATGGCTCCCCTGCACGCTGTCAGAAGACTCCGGGACCCACCCCAGCCGGAATCTGGTTCCGTGCAGGGGGAGGATGTGCCTTCTGACACTGTTTACGTCGGGAACCTCCCCCGGGACGCCCGAGTGAGTGAGCTGAAGAGAGCCCTCAAAGACCTCAGCGCAGCCCCCCTGCGGCTCACCTGGCAGGGGCCACAGCGCAGGGCCTTCCTCCATTACCAGGACCCGGCCTCGGCCCAGCAGGCCGTCTCCTGCCTGCAGGGCCTACACCTGGGCGCCAGCACCTTAAGGGTGGCGCTGGCCAGGCAGCAGAAGGCCAGTGATGTGGTGGGCGGCCACGCTGGGGAGCCACACTCTGACCACCGCCTGGCCGTCTCTGACCTATGACGACGTCCTGCTCCAGTCCCCAAGGAATTTCAGCAGCCCACATAGCAGGACGCGGCAGAGCTATTGCTGCCTGGGCTATTTTGAATTCAGTCTCCTAGGAAGTCACAGCCTTCAGTTACTGCCTGGTGATCTCCTGACGAGTAGGGGAAACTAGCAGTAACACAGTTCCTGTGTGCAGGAGGCTGAGAACTCGCTGTATGCAGGTTCTGGTTGACCTTGGGCCTTTAGCCTGTTGCATGGTGTAGACATGCTGGTTTCTCTGTGGAGACAGCAGTGTGGAGGGTTAGGGGGCTGAGTGAGCAATAAACAAGTGGGAGTAAGTGGTGACAGTGATTTAGGAGAGTCTGTGCTCTGGATTTGAGGGGAGTGGGGAGTAAGAGAAGAGGGATGGAAGATGCTGCCAGGAGAGGCCCTGGCAGGGACCAAGTGCAGGAGCACAGAGGGGCAGAACCAGAAAATGCCCTCGTGCTCTTGGGTCCTTGGCCTGGCACTACTGGAGGCGGCTGTACGCAAACCAGAAGCCAAGTGGTTCAGTCCCTGGGTGAAAACTGCTTGTCACCACTCAGTCCTAGTGTCAGAGATAGATAGTCGGTCCCACGTGGACTCTCAGTTGAACAGGTCTCACCTCTGTCCCCACCTTACCTTTCCAGCCCCGCTCCTCCCTCTGGAGGAACACCCTCCACCCTCAGCTCTCAGCCAGCTGCCCTGCACGCAGCAGGAAGCTCTGTCCTGCAGGGGTCATTGGCTTTGGAAGATGCATTGTCCCAGCCCACGTCATAGACAGAGTCTTAGACACACACTCACGTGCGCCCAGTGCCTTATATGTTCTGGGTTTTTCCTCCAGTTCTCTGTTCCTAAAAACACTGTAGATTTTGGCTGAATTTTGCTTTCTAAACAGAAGCACTTTTTGCAGTTGATGCTGGGCAAAAAGTCAAAATAAGCATTTAAGTGGAGATTATATTTTTTTCAAATGTATATGCATTGGAAATTTTAACTTTTTCACCACGGGTCTTATTGAGCATACTTTAAGTGCAGTATTGTGCCTCAAGAGGGCAGGCCTTGCACGCACTTTCAAGAAAACGTCAAGGCCATCATCTCCCTTTGAAAAAGCATTTTCTCATTGGTTTCACGGTGAAAATACTATGGAGACTTGGGAGAGAAAATCTGTCCTTAGATTTGCTCTTTTTTGTGTGTGTGAGGAAGACCAGGCCTGAGCTAACATCCGATGCCCATCCTGCTCTTTTTTGCTGAGGAAGATTGGCCCTGGGCTAACATCCGTGCCCATCTTCCTCTACTTTATATGGGACACCGCCACAGCATGCCCTGACAAGCGGTGGGTTGGTGCGCGCCCGGGATCCAAACCTGTGAACCCTGGGCCGCTGCAGTGGAGCGCGCGCACTTAACCACTGCGCCACCAGGCCGGCCCAGATTTGCTCATTAAATGCAGACTCCTTTGCCAAGTTGTCATGAATAAAATGAGGGGGTACAAATGTCTTAAAACAGGCCTGGATCTTGCCTTAGGGCCTCATGGCTCTCTCTCTCTCTCTGCACCGTCCACGTCTGTCCGCCTGGCTGTTCCTGGCTTCGTTTTGTTGCTCGTTGTTCAGCTCGGATGTCAGAGGCCGACTCTGACCACCCCATCCAGAGCAGTGACCTAATCATCTTAACCCCTCACTCTGTCACTCTGTTTTCTGTTTTCTAGAATGTCTCCTGTATTTGACGTGTTCTGGTTTAGTTTTTGTTGACTTTTTTATCGTTGACTTGCCACCGTTAGAACAGGAAGGAGTCTGTACCTGTCTCTTTCGCTCCCCGCTGTACCTCGGCTGTGAGGACAACTGGCAGATGCACAGTAACTCAGGAAAATGTGGTCTGTGAAGGGATTTGCCAGAGCCGAGAGGGAGAAACTGGATCCTGATCCCTCCACGGGGAGCCCAGTGTCCAGCTGTGTCTGCTGCCACCCACCTTAGACTGTTGAGTCCTACACATCAGTAATGATCCTCCCAGTTAAGCCGGGTCGCTTGGGTTTTCTGTCACCGGCTGCCAGAATAATCCAGGTATATTGATATACAGATAATCTAGATCGCTATATCATTTTTATATTGGTGGAAAATAGATTAGGATAAGGAAAACTACACACCAAGTGCCTGAACTGTCAGTACCCCCGATGTATCAGCCTTCGCGCCTTTTCCTCCCCTCCTTGCCTCGGAGTGATCGTGCTCGGGGCCACCGGGAAGAGTGCTCAGATTACAGGGAAGTGCTCAGGCACCCAGCCTTCCCTTCCCAAGGCTCTTGAGTATTTGTCAGCATTGTAGTTGTGTAATTCACATAATGATAATAAGGGAAAATAACGGAAAATGCCCCCTTGACACAGTGCTGCGAGTACATGGGCCCCTTTGAAGTGGAGCCTTCGTGACTCCTGGGTCCCATCCTGTTTTTCCTAAATGGTGGTGTGGCTTTGCCAGCAGGGGGAGGAGACTCCTGCCGAGTCCACAGCAGCACAGTTTCCAAAAACTCACCCTTCACTCTGCACAGTGAGTGCTGGACTCGGAGCCCAGAGCCCAGGCCTGCTGTGGGCAGGTCACGTAGCCCGTCCGGGTGTTAGCTACCTCACCTTTAGAACAACAGGGCTGAACTCCGTGATTTCTAAGGCCTGGCCAGTTCTGACAGTCTGTGTGTCTCTTTTGAGGCTCACTGCTCACCGTCAGTTACATTTTTTTCTGTTTATAAAAGTAGACATCCATTTTGGAAATTTTGGAATATCAGAGGTATAAATCACCCCAGCCCTTAAGCAGCCTTGACCTCGCCCCTTACTTCTTTCCAGTCTTTCCTCTGTGCAGTTTGAAAACAAGATGTGCTTCAGAATCACACAGCTTTGGCTGGGAGCATCAGTTTGCCACCGTTTGGTAGGGCAGGTACTTACTCTCTGAACTTCCATTTTCTCATCTGTAAATGGGCGTAGTAACAGTACCCCCAGAGATTTGTGGGGGTTAGATGACATAGCGCCTTGAGAGTGCGTGGACTGCACGTGGCAAGTGCTCTGACCGTGGGCTCACTGTCGAGGGCAGTGGGACCCAGCCACCCATACACCCCAGGGATTGCCTCTCGGACGGGGTGGAGCAGCTCCACGGGGCAGAACTTGGGACTGGCCCAGACCTCGCGTCTGCTGCCCTGGCGTCCAGAGCAAGAGTCTGAGGCAGCGCCGAGAGCGTGCCCTGGGCTCGGATATCAGCGATGGTGGCGGTGGCCCTAGAGCCATTTCCCGGGTGAGTTGTCATGAATGCTGAGACCTGGCGGAAGAGGGCAGGCTGACAGCGGCACTGAGCTTGCTGGAGAGCACGTCATGAGGGGCTGGGTTCTGGCTGGCAGAGCAGCTAAAAGAGCCTGGAAGAAGCAGCCATTTCTGCTCCAGAGAGAGGTTGGGTGTCCTTTGGTCTGGCCCATGGCTCGTGGGCTTCACCCGAGACAGAAGAAGACACACAATTATGTTCCCCTGCCTGATGAGCCATGGCCGGGCCCCTCCCCAGCCCTCAGATGACGTGCTCATTGGACTGGAAATGGTTTGGGATCTGAATGTCTATGACAGCACTCAGGGGAAAAGGTGAGACCTGAGGGAACCCACTGTATGTTCTAGGAAAGACACACTCTGAATACAGTTGAAGACATAGGAAACAGATCAACTGGGGGCTTTTGAAAGACTCTCAAAGTAGAAGGACCTGACACACGAGACGTGAGGGAAGAGCATTTATGAGAAAGATTTACTCCAGGAGACAGAAGTTAGTTTCAGGCAACTCTGTACTACTCAGTCTGCTCTGTGCTCCTGAAAAATTTGAGAAGATAGTTTCCACATTTCTATGAAAAAGTTGTGTCAGTTTTTGCCCTTTTCTGCTCTGATCGCAAAATAAACAGGGAATCATGGGGTCTAAAATTACAAGTCCTGTGGTCAATATACTCAAAAGAGAGCTTGCTGAAAATAGGCAAAAGTGAAAAGAGCTGAGCGGGATAGTAAATGTACTTTTTAAAAATCAAAGTGTTTGATTATAACATTGACATTTGTATTAGAAGATGCGGTATGGAGGAGAGAGAAGAAAGTCTTTCAGCAAGAAGGGGAGAGAATGGAAAAGAGACAGTGGCAAGCCACAGCTAACAGAGAAGGCAAGACCGCACTAACATTGAAAGCCACAGAAGAACCCCCCTCAGCTGCAGAAGGCAGTGTCAGAGCACAGACTCCTGTAACCGATGTGAATATCCCACAACAGGATTCTAGTGGGGAGAAATTATACCAGCACCACACAACCTGGACCGTTGTCTACACTTATGAGCAGAAAATAAAGAGTTACCAGTCATTTGAGGAAAATCAGTGTCTCGAAACATCATCTAACCCTTTGGGAAATGTCAGAACAGGAATCAGAAGGTAATTAGAAGGCCATTAAAAAGAAAATAAACTGGTGAGGAAAAAAACATGTCTTAGAAATTGAAAACATTATAAAATAAACTTAGTAGTCAAACCGAAGGCAGATGACACAGACACAACAAGTTGGAAGATTAAGCCACGTGATTCTTCCTGACCCCAGTGCAAAGGGGATAGAGATGGCACGTATGAAACAGTGGGGAAAATAATCAGATTAAAACTTTCGTCAGCTGAGAAAAGATTTGACTTCATGTTGAAAGAGTCCTCCAAGTCCAAAACAAGGGAAGCATGTAAATTAGTGATCTTCCCATACAGTGTTAGTAACTTGTTGAAAACTTTGTTTTTAATGCAATAACAACAAAAACTAAGTATTTGGGAATACACCTAGTGGGCAGTGTGGATCATGTGGATAAAATTATAAAACTCTCTTGAAAAAGATGAAAGATCTGAATAAAGAGACATGCTGTGTTCTAGATGGAAGGAGTCAACACAATGAAGGTGTGAGTTCTTCCTATGTTAAAATATTCTATACATGACAATGAAAATCCCAACGACCTTTTCATGAAACTCGATAAGGTGGATGTTAAATGTT